AAAAACTAAAAGTCTTTTAGCACATGTACCACCCCTAGAATTTCCAGTAAACAAGCACCAGCCTGAAGATCACATTCTCATCAAGGGGTGGAAAGAAGAAAAACTCGAGCCAACCTGAGAAGGACGCTACTAACCACCAAGACCGCTATTTGTACAGCAAAAAAAAAAAAAAAAAGGATGGACTCATCACACCCGAGTCAAGAAAGCGCCACCCCCTCCAGAGTCATGGGCCATCGTCCCAGGGGAAAACCCTACCAAACTGAAGCTAAGAAAAATTTAACTCTTTTCATCTATTCTATTACTCTTTCTTCTTTCCTCATTCTATTGCTGACCATCTGGTTATTAACATAACCAAGTCAATTTCATCTCAAACTGTTGCATTTAATGTTTGCCTTGTTATATCCTGTGAGGACTTGCCAAGTCAAAGACAGCTTTCTACTTTAGAAAATTACTTCTGTCCCTCCTGACTCTCCTCAGACTAGGCAGTAGTAAACTAGGACCATTTAATCTGGGGAGATTTCAATAAAGACCCCAGTGCCAACCAGGAATGTTGCCCCCCAGTGTACAGCTTTCATGCCATAGTTGGTCCAACATTCTCTGGGCCACTAAAGAGCAAGGATGGACTGCCCGAACTGCTTTTTGTAATTTCCCTAAAACCATACATTCATTTTAGTAGAGGATCATAGACGTTAAAGACTTAAAACAAACTTTAGCAATTAAGACAGGATACCAAGATACAAATGCCTGGTTAAAATGTATCAAATATTCCATCTGCATGTTAAAAAAAAAAAAAAGCAATTGTTATGCTTGTGCACATGGCAGGCCAGAGGCCCAGACTGTCCCCCTTCCATGGAACTAAGGTGGTCCTCCAGTTGACCAGGCGTAGGCTGCATGGTAGCTCTTTTCTAGGATTCTACAGCCTGGAGTAATAAGTCATGCCAGACTCTCTCTCTGCTATATGCCAAAGTCTGGCACCCTGCGGTTCAGCCCCTGAGGGCCATCCAGCTTCCGTCTCCCAACACTAAGTTCACTTCGTGTCTCTCACGACAGGGAAGAAACTTAGCATTCCTTAGAGACCTGAAAGGATGTGATGAGCTTAAGAATTTTCAAGAGCTTATCAATCAGTCAGCCCTTGTTCATCCTTGAGTGGATGTGTGGTGGTATTGTGGTGGACATTTACTGGGCACTCTGCCGAATAACTGGAGTGGCACTTGTACTTTAGTCCAATTGGCTATCCCTTTCACCCTGGCATTTCATCAACCAGAAGGAAAAAAAATAAGACATCATAAAAGCGAGAGAAGCCACTTATGGATCTTTCGACCCTCATGTCTATTTAGATGCAACTGGAGTCCCACGAGGAATACCAGATCAAGTTAAAGCTGGAAATCAAATAGCTGCAGGATTTAAGTCAATATTTTGGTGGGTGACAGTTAATAAAAATGTAGATTAGGTAAACTACATCTATTACAACCAACAGCAACAAGGTTTTCATGAGTTAAAGGAAAAACTCATGTCAGCCCCAGCCCTGAGGCTACCTGACCTGACAAAACTGCCATTTTTTAATCTTTCTGACACAGAGAATGTAGAGTTTTGTTTGGCGTTTTAAGCCGGACTGTGGGGCCCTGGCCAAGGCCAGTGGCCTATCTCTCAAAACAACTAGACAGAGTTTCCAAAGACTGGTCCCCAGGTCTAATGGCCCTAGCAACAATGGCCCTGTTAGCACAAGAAGCAGATAAACTAACCCTTAGACAAAACCTGAATATAAAGGCCCTCCACGCTGTGGTAACTTCAATAAATACCAAAGGACATCATTGGTTAACAAATGCTAGATTAACCAAGTACCAAAGCTTGCTATGTGAAAATCCCCACATAAGCATTGAAGTTTGTAACATCCTAAACCCCACCACAACCTTGCTCTCGGTATCAAAGAGCCCAATTGAACATAACTGTGTAGAGGTGTCAGACTCGGTTTATTCTAGCAGGCACAACCTCTGAGACCATCCTTAAACATCAGTAGACTGTGAGCAATACGTGGATGGGAGCAGCTTTGCCAGCCCCTGCAAAGTGACTCTGAAGAACTCGACAAGCCCTGCTCCAGTCACACCTGGAAGCTGACTGGTCCACGCACGGCTGAAGCATGAGGAAAGTCTTCACGGGACTCATTTTCCTTAAAATTTGGACTTGTACAGTAAGGACTTCAACTGACCTTCCTCAGACTGAGAGCTGTTCCCAGTGTATACATCAAGTCACTGAGATAGGACAAAAAATTGCTACGGTCCTATTATTTTATGGTTATTATAAGTGTACTGGAACTCTAAAAAGAACTTGTTTGTATAATGTTATACTATACAAGGTATGTAGCCCAGGAAATGACCAACCTGATGTGTGTTATGACCCATCTGAGCCTCCCATGACCACAGTTTTTAAAATAAGATTAAGAACAGAAGACTGTTAGGGGCTCATAAACAATACGAGTAAAGTGTTAGCCAAAATAGAAAAAAAAAGGGTGCCTAAACGAGTCACCTTAAAATTTGATGCCTGTGCTGTCATTAATAGTAATAAGTTAGGAATAAGGTATAGTTCTCTTAATTAGAAAAGGGGCTATATGGCAGAAAATAAGTACATCTGTCATAAATTAGGACTGTGTGGAAAAATAAATGTAAATACTGGTCTTGTGTCATTTAGGCTACCTGGATTAAAAAAAAAAAATGAGAAGGATCCAGTCCACCTTCAGAAAGGAAAAAATGACCCTTCCTGTACTAAGGGACAATGTAACCCCTTAGAACTAGTAATAACCAATCGTGTTGATCCTTACTGGAAAAAAAGGGGAACATGGAACCCTAACAATTGATGGATCTAGACTAGATTTTTAAGTAAATATCATGGTTTGAGGAAAAGTTTATAAACACTCTCCTGAGCCAGTATTTCAAACCTTCTATGATAAACTAAAAGTGCCAGTACCAGAAATTCCAGGAAAAACAAGAAATTTGTTTTTGCAATTAGCCAAGCATGTAGCACAGTCTCTCAGTGTCACTTCATGTTAAGTATGTGGAGGAACTGTAATAAGAGATCAATGGCCATAGGAAGCCTGAGAATTAGTACCTACAGACCCAGTTCCTTATAAATTCCTGGCTCAAAAGAATCACCCTGATAATTTCTAGGTCCTAAAAACCTCAATTATTGGACAACATTGCACAGCTAGAGAAGGAAAAGAATTCACTCACCCAGTAAGATGACTTAGTTGTCTGAGACAGAAACTGTACAATAGTACCACAAAAACAGTCACTTATTGGAGTTCAAATCACACAGAGAGAAATCCATTTACTAAATTCCCAAAGTTGCAAACCGTGTGGACCCACCTGGAGTCCCACTGGGACTGGACAGCCCCCACTGGATTATACTGGATATGTAGGCATAGAACTTATGCCAGATTACCTGATCAGTGGGCAGGTAGTTGTGTTATTGGCACTATTAAACCATCTTTCTTCCAACTGCCCTTAAAAACAGGCGAACTCCCGGGCTTCCCTGTCTGTGCTTCCTGCGAAAAGAGAAGTATAGCTATAAGAAATTGAAAAAATGATAAATGGCCCCCTGAGAGAATCATACAATATAGGCCTGCTACTTAGGCACAAGACGGCTTGTGGGGATACCAGACCCCCATTTACATAATTAACCAAATCATATGGTTACAAGCTGTCTTAAAAATAATCACTAATAAAACTAGCAGATCCTTGACTGTTCTGGCCAAGCAAGAAACTCAGATGAGAAATGCTATCTATCAAAATAGATTAGCTCTCGACTACTTGCTAGCAGCTGAAGGAGAGGTCTGTAGGAAATTTAACCTTACTAATCGCTGCCTACACATAGATAATCAAGGGCAAGTAGTCGAAGACATAGTTAAGAGATACGACAAAACTGGCACATGTGCCCGTGCAAGTGTGGCATGGATTTGATCCTGGGACCATGTTTGGAAAATGGTTCCCAGCACTGGGAAAATTTAAAACTCTTATAATAAGAGTTATAATAGTAATAGGAACCTACTTACTGCTCCCTTGTTTGCCACGTGTACTTCTTCAAATGATAAAAAGCTTCATCGCTACCTTAGTTCACCAAAATGGTTCAGCACAAGTGTACTATATGAATCACTATCGATCTGTCTTGCAAGAAGACATGGGTAGTGAAAATGAAAGTGAGAACTCCCACTAATAAAATGAGTGGGAGTCTCAAAAGCGGGGAATAAGGGAGGAGACCACCCCTCATATCATCTTATGCCCAATTTCTGCCTCTAAAGAAAGAAGAAGTAAAAACTAAAAGGCAGAAATGAAATCCACAGGCAGACAGCCTGGTGCCACACCCTGGGCCTGGTAGTTAAAGATCGACCCCTGACCTAATTGGTTGTGTTATCTGTAGATTACAGACATTGTATAGAAATGCACTGTGAAAATCTCTATCTTGTTTTGTTCCAATCTAATTACCGGTGCATGCAGCCCCCAGTCATGACCCTCTCACACGAACCCCTTTAGACTTGTGAGCCCTTAGAAGGGACAGGAATTGCCCACTCGGGGAGCTTGGCTCTTGAGACAGGAGTCTTACCGATGTCCCTGGCTGAATAAACCCTTTCCTTCTTTAACTCGGTGTCTGAGGAGTTTTGTCTGCCGCCCGTCCTGCTACAACACATTCTCTCATGTGGTCTGGCCTTTATGGTATTATTAGAAGAGTTAATACCCTGAACAGTCGACCCTTTGAATAATTTCTTGTGTCTGGTTTCTGGATAAGAGGAAGTCAGGACAAAGAGCTAACTACTGAGTGGATCATGATTGAATGGGCTGTTGTGGTATGGTGGTTGAATGGAATTTGCAACAAATGCAATTCTTAATCATTCTTTTTCTCCTCAGTACACACACAGTGTTTCTTAATGGAAATAAAGTTTACTTTCCTGGCCATTAGCAGACTTCATAATTTTGATTCCTAATTGTCTTTTCGCCTTGTTTTCTGTTCAGTATAAATGACATCGCATTTAAGCCTGATGGAACTCAACTGATTCTGGCTGCCGGCAACAGATTACTGGTAGGATTTTGTTTTAGTTTCCTCTTAAAGTACTTCCCCAACCTCCCTCTTGTGAGTACTCTGAAATTTGACCCTTTTTTTTTTTGAGATTAAAAAGGCAAGGGTGGAAAAACCTTCCTTATTACTTTTTAATAGGGATGGAAATGGGCTATTTAAAACAGGCAAGTAAACTATCAGATAAAAACCTGTGAACAATACCTCCTTTGGGGTCATTAATCTTTCCCTTTTTACTTTGAGACACCCATGAAAGAGTTGAAAACAATCACAATGCCTTTAAAACTGGACTGGTGTCAGTTTACATTTTGTTCCCCAGAAAAATTCAAGCAACAGGACTGAAGGTGCTCTGTCCATGAAGTCAGACCCCAACTTTTAGGCATTGGCCTACCTAAACAATTCCATATGGATATTGTCCTATTTTTCATATTTTTATTTTTATTTTTATTTTTTTTGAGACGGAGTCTCGCTATGTCGCCCAGGGTGGAGTGCAGTGGCCGGATCTCAGCTCACTGCAAGCTCCGCCTCCCGGGTTTTTACGCCATTCTCCTGCCTCAGCCTCCCGAGTAGCCGGGACTACAGGCGCCCACCACCTCGCCCGGCTAGTTTTTTGTATTTTTTAGTAGAGACGGGGTTTCACCGTGTTAGCCAGGATGGTCTCAAACTCCTGACCTCGTGATCCGCCCGTCTCGGCCTCCCAAAGTGCTGGGATTACAGGCTTGAGCCACCGCGCCCGGCCTATTTTTCATATTTTTAAAGAACATATGCTCTCTCTGGAACCTATCCAGGTATATAAAAGTAATTTTCAGAGAACCCCTTATGTTTGACCAAAAAACCTTTGTATGATCTCTCTTTCTGTCTTAAGTCTACTTCCTCTTCTCTGTTGTCTCTAGATACGCAGACTGATTAATCTCCATTCTTTGTATGGTTAACTACATAATCTTAAAACATCGTTGAATTGTTCTGCAGACTTCTCTCCAGTGTAAACAATCCAAGCCATTTTAGTTTTTCTACATAGGTTATCTTTTCCAACACTATAACCATTTCAGAAAGTTTCCCCTTGATTTCTCAGATGGTGTGTTTTTAACTCTCCACATAGTAATAGATGTCACATGGCTATCAAATACCTAAATCCATATTACAGCTGGATTTTATTGTATTTTATTTCTTAGAGACAGGGTCGTGCTCTGTTGCCCAAGCTGGTGTGCAGTAGTGCAATCATAGATCACTGTAGCCTCAAACTCCTGGGCTTAAGGGATTTTCCCACCTCAGCCTCCTGAGTAGCTAGGACTGTAGACACACACCACCTCGCCCACCTAATTTTTAAATTAAAATAATTTTTTTTTTTTGGGTAGAGATGGGGTTTCACTTTGTTGCCCAAGCTGGTCCTGAACTCCTGGTTTCAAGCAATTCTCCCACTTCAGCCTCCCAAAGTGTTGAGTTTACAGGCGTGAGCTACCATGCCTGGCCTACAGTTGGGTTTTTTAACATTCCCTCCTACTTGAAAACCCAGAGTTGTGTGACTTTCAAACTCTTGGTAGCAAATATGAAACATCTCTCTATTATGCTGATTTAGTGCAGAACTGGCACTGAAATTTAATCATGTTATAGCTGGCTCTTTTTAGGGGCTAGTTCTATTTAGAAGAGCCTGCCTTGATTAGTCATGTATCTGAATTCAGGTAAGGATGAGTGTAAAGCATTTCCATGGAGTGAATAATTGAACCTTTGGTTCTTAAGGATTAGTGGTATATTCCTGGTCACGTAGTAGTACATAGACCTGGGACCTTTACTTCTTGGTTACCCAATTTTAAGTCACGTTGTTTTTGCTTTCACCGTATAGTTTTTATTGGATACAAATTTAGAATATTGACACGTGTATTGTTATAAAAACAAAAATAGCAGTAGCAACCCTGCAGGAATTCTGACTAATAGATATCACATAGATAATCTGTATTTGTCTCTTTTGCCAGGTTTATGACACCTCTGATGGCACCTTACTTCAGCCCCTCAAGGGACACAAAGACACTGTGTACTGTGTGGCATATGCGAAGGATGGTAAAAGGCTGCTCTGGGTTTCCATTCTCTATGATGGCCTCATCATTGTTCATTTTTCTCCTTAGTCACTTTTTAATTATTTCTAATAAGCTAGAGTACAACTTGCAAGTTCAGAAGATAGTGAAGTTGCTTAGACTTCAATTCAGTCATTCAATCTACCAAGTATTTATTGAGGCGATCTATATTCCAGGTGCTGTTCAAGATGCTTGAGATACTTCAGAGAAAAAAACGGTGGTCCCTCCCCTTATGGGGCTTCTGTTTTATGGGGTGGTGGTGAGAAGTGAGGGAGGAAGAGAGTATGAGGGAAGACATACAGTAAACATAGTAAAAAGGTAAATTAAGCAGTATGCTGGAAGGTGATAACTGTTATGGAAGAAGAAAAAGTAGAGCAGTGGAGGGGGATTGAGAGTGCTGGGCAGGGCAGGGGGTTGGGTGCAGTATTGAATTAGACTAGTGAAGGTGGGCTCATTGAGATGAGGACAGGTGAGCAAAGAGTTTGAAGTCAGGAGGCAATGAGATTGTGCCAGTGGGCATCTGGGGGATGAGAGCTCCTTGCAGAGGAAGAGCCATTGCAAAGGCCCTTACGTGTGGGTGTGCCTACTAGGAGCTGGATCAAAGAGAATCAGGAATTGTAGAGGATGAGGATAAAGTGGTAACAGACATGGGGTGGTCAGATCAGGCTGGCCATCATAAAGATTTTGATTCTCAATCAAAATGGAACTACTGAAAGGTCCTCAGCAGAGAAGGGATCTGATCTGATTTATATTTTAAAAGGATCCTTCTAGTTGCTGAGTTGGAAACAACCTGCAAGAGGTGAGGGTTGGGACATCTGAGTGAGGAAGCATCATCTAGACAAGGGGTGATGGTGGCTCAGACCTCTGTAGGGGCAGAGGAGGTGGTGAGAAATGATCAGACTCTGGATATAATGGGAGGGTGGAGCCAACTGGATTGTCTGACAGATTGGATATGGGCTGTGAAGAAAAAGGAGTCAAAGTTTTTGACCTGAGGACTGAAAAGATGGAGTTGCCCCCCGACAGAGATGGAAAAGACTGCAGGTAGAGAAAACTTATAGTTGAAGATCAGAAATTCAGTTTTACACATGCTGAATTTGAGAAAAGTTGATGATATAGGAGAGGGGAGAGGACTGCTGGAACAGAGTTGAGTAGGCAAGAGGAGATGGGATCTAGGGCATAGACAGGGTGTTTGCTTTAGGTAGGGGTATGGTAGGAACTGCAGAGGCCAGCAAATGGGGACAGTGTGGTAGTAGGAATCTAATGGAAATTCTCAATTCCATTTTTTTTTTTCTTCAGTGAAATAGGAAGCAGCATCAACTGAGAGTGACAATGGGGAAGGGAGGTTTCAGAGAGTTGAAGAGAAAGGAAAAAGTGTAAAATCACTGCCTCAGAGAGTGGACCCGGGAGATCCCCAGTGTAGTGAGATCCCCAGTGACATGAAGAGCCCTCTTGAAGGTTGTGATCATGAATTGAAAGTGAGATTAGTTGGTGTGATTATGTCTTTTTCTCCAGCCATTTTGAGCTGCATAGTTGTGAGACAGAAGAGATGAATTTAACCAGAGGTGGTTTTGCAAGCACATTTGAAGATGAAGTAGGAGGGCAAGGGAGCAGAAAGTGTATACAGATAAATAATTATGTACATTAACCTTGAATTGTTGGCTGAATAATGAAGAGAGAGAGGACAGCAATGGAGAAGTAGTAGGTTCTGGTGGGGTTGAAGGATTGTTACAGTTGGGGTACCAGGTGGGTTGGGAAGGAAGGGAAGTGATGCATGAAACTGAGATTTAAATTTATTTTAAAATAATCCATGTTGTCCCACAGCATAGGATTAGTGGGAAGAACATGGGCTTTGGAATGAGACAGTTGTGAGTTCCAACCCCAACCCAACACCAGAATTCTGTGAGTTCGAGCTGGTTATTGAGTCTGAGTCACAATTTCTTCATGTGTCAAATGGATAACATTAGAGATAACATTCTGTAGCCACTGCCAAGAAGTCACAAAATTGTAATGTTATAATGCTTGAATGAACCTTGGAGATCATTCCAGTCCCAGATTTTTAACTTCTTTTGGCTGATGGGCCTCTTTGATAGTCAGATGGAAGCTTTAGACCACTTCCTAGAAAAATGTAGATTCTTCATATATATACAGAATTTCGTGCATATAATTTAGTCTGATTAGTACAGTCTCTTCACTTCAGCCCTGCATAAAGACATAGACAATTGGCCGGGCACGGTGGCTCATGCCTATAATCCTACTATAATCCTAAAGCTCTGGGAGCCTGAAGTTGGGAAAATTGCTTAAGGCAGGATTGAGACCAGCCTGGGCAACATAGTGAGACTCCCTAAAATCTGGCCTAGGTGACAGAGCTAGACTCCATCTCTAAAAAAAAAGACAGGTCATGTGACTTGACAAGGCCATGCAGCAGGTTGGCCCAAAGACAAAACTAATTTCTTGCTTTATAGTCAGGTGTGCTATACCATGGTAGTCATATTTTGTGTGTCTGTGTGTGTGTATGTGTGTGTGTGTGTGTGTGCATGTTTGAGTTCAAGTTCAGAATAATGTTTTAGGGAGACCTGTGAGGAGGGAGCCTGGAGAGCTGAACTGTTTCTGTCTCATCCTAGTGGCTCTTGAGAAACGTGGGCCAGTCAAGGGCCTGGTATAAGGCCCAGTAGGTACAGAAGAGCTATTGGGCCTCTGATGCCTCTGGTGTTTATAAGCATAGCAGGACTCTTTGACCTGCAACACCATTAAGGCACTTGGGGATGTCAGAGTGTGACCCGTCAGTAGTGGCATTTGCACAGCACTTTCCAGAGTCATGTCACACACATCTCATTTGATGCTCCCAACAACTCTCTGAAGCAGGCAGCAAGGGGACTCTTATTCCTGCTCAAAGATGAGAAAACAGACTTGGAGCAGTTACAGGTGATGGTGGCAGAGGCAGGCCTAACCCAGGTCCTCTGACTGCAGAGCCCTCGTTCTTTCTGGTGTATCACGCTGCCTCTTCATGACACCTGTATGATGATTAAAAAGTCTTTTAGTCCTCGGAACTGGTTTTTTCCTTTCAGACCTGAAGATTGAGATACACTGAATTGCTCTTTTAAGTCTACTTGTTTCTGATTTCTCCCTTAAGTTTAATACTTTTTTTTTTTTTTTGAGACAAAATCTCGCTGTCGCCCAGGCTGGAGTGCAGTGGTGCGATCTCAGCTCACGGCAACCTCCGACTCCCTGGTTCAAGCGATTCTCCTGCCTCAGCCTCCTGAATAGCCGGGACTACAGGTGCACACCACCATGCCCAGCTAATTTTTGTATTTTTAGTAGAGACAGGGTTTCACCATATTGTTCAGGCTGGTCTCAAACTCCTGACCTTGTGATCCGCCCACGTTGGCCTCCCAAAGTGCTGGGATTACAGGTGTGAGCCACCGCTCCTGGCCCAAGTTTAATAAGTATTTAATGAGCAACCATGATATAAAAGTATGTAAGACATAGTTTTTTTGTTCAAGAAAAACAATATAATATGAAGAAAGAATAGAAATAGCTAATTTTTTTTTAGTGTTGCTTCTATTCCAGGCCCAGTTCTAAGCAACACAGGGGTTGGGGGTGCCACTCCCTGTGCAGTAAAAAATCTGCATGTAATTTCTGAACCCCCCCAAAACTTCACTATTAATAGCCTACTGTTGACCACTAGCCTTACCTGTAACATAAACAGTTAACACATTTTTAATATTATATGTATTATATATTGTATTCTTAAAATAAGTAAGCTAGATAAAATGTTAATTGAGAAAAAAGAAAAATATACACTCTTCATTAAATGGAAGTGGATCATCATAAAGGTCTTCGTCTTCATTGTTTTCAGGTTGATTAGGCTGAGGAGGAGGAGGAGGAAGAGGAGGGGTTGGTGACGCTGTGCCAGGGAGACAGAGGCAAAAGAAAATTCACATGTAAAAGTGGACTCATGTAGTAAAACTCATGTTGTTCAGGGGTCAACTGTATGTACACACATACATACACTCATTTAATCTTCACACCAACCATGAGGTAAATACTAACATTATATCCATTTTTCAAATAAGGAAATCATAGAGCCTTTCAGTAGCTTGTTTGGGTCATACAGCTGTTCAGTGAGATCTCTAGGAATTCTGACCCAGAGACTCTGAGCCCAAAGCTTATGCTTTTCATCACATCACCTGCTACCTACCAGGATGAAGGAGGAGTGATGGAAATAGTAAGAGCAGTTTCTTTGTTTCTTTAGTATTTGCAGCAATATCATACGGCTCACCCTAATATCTACTATTTCAGCTACTATAAAAGGTAGTTGGCCGGGTGTGGTGGCTCATGCTTGTGATCCCAGTACTTTGGGAAGCCAAGGCAGGTGGATCATGAGGTCAGGAGTTCGAGACAAGTCTGGTCAACACAGTGAAACCCCATCTCTACTAAATATACAGAAATTAGCCAGGCATGGTGGTGTGTGCCTGTAATCCCAGTACTTGGGAGGCTGAGGCAGGAGAATTGCTTGAACCTGAGAGGCGGAGGTTGCAGTGAGCCGAGATTATGCCACTACTCTCTGGCCTGGGTGACAGAGCTAGACTCCGTCTCAAAAAGGGCCAGGGGTGGTGACTCATGCCTGTAATCCCAGAACTTTGGGAGGCAGATCACCTGAGGTCAGGAGTTCAAGACCAGCCTGCCCAACATGGAGAAACCCCATCTCTACGAAAAATACAAAAAATTAACCGGGTGGGCGCCTGTAGTCCCAGCTACTAGGGAGACTGATGCAGGAGAATCCCTTGAATCTGGGAGTCGGAGGTTGTGGTGAGCTGAGATCGTGCCACTGCACTCCAGCCTGGGCAACAGAGTGAGACTTGGTCTCAAAAAAAAAAAATAAATAAATAAATAAAATAAAGGTTCTTTACAAATACTATCTTAGTTGAGTCCCACAAAAAGACTGAGGAAGATACTATTTCTGTGTTTCAGATGAAGGCATTGAGGCTCAGAGAACAGTGACTTGCCCAAGGTCACCTTCCACTTGCCCTGTGAATAAAGTCTGAAAGTCCTTAAGGTGTACAGAATGTGGCTCATGCTTACCTCTCATTCCTCATCTTTCACCAGAGTAGGTGAAGACCCCGTTGTTTGCTGCCATGATACCATGATCCTCTCCCAAATACTTATAAGTGTGTAACAGTATAATTAATAACAAATTACTTATTATATGTTGCCTGTCTCCAGTCTGTTCCTTCATAAAGCCCAAGTAGTATGAAAATGCAAATTTGATCTACCACTCTTTGCTTAAAACCTTTCTTTGGCTTCGCATTGCGTTAGGATAAAGAGCAAGGCCTCTAATGTGTCCCTGAGTTCCCAAGAGATCCTTCCACAACCCACCTCACCCTTCCCTCAGTTCCATGATGACTCCACTCATTCCCTCAGACATGCCAGGCTTTTCCTGCTTCGGGGCCTTTGCACATCTGTTCTATCCATGTGGATGGGTCTTTCTCCTCTCTACATCTGGCTAAGCTCTGCTCATCCTTTAGGTCTCCACTGAAGGATCTCATCCTTAGAGAAACCTTCCCTCATCTAAATTAGGTCCCCCAGGAGATGTCGACCAAAGGGTAGTTTCAGTCAGACAAAAGGAGTACATTTTTGAGATCTGTTGCACAGCATGGTGACCATAGTTAATAATAGCCTATTTTTCAAAACTGGTACAAGAATAGATTTTTTTTTTGAGATGGAGTCTCGCTCTATTGCCCAGGCTGAAGTGCAGTGGTGAGATCTCGGCTCACTGCACGCTCCACCTCCTGGGTTCATGCCATTCTCCCGCCTCAGCCTTCCGAGTAGCTGGGACTACAGTCACCTGCCACCAGGCCTGGCTAATTTTGTTTTTATATTTTTACCAAACGGGATTTCACCGTGTTAGCCAGGATGGTCTCCATCTCCTTACTTCGTGATCCACCTGCCTTGGTCCCCCAAAGTGCTGGGATTACAGGCATGAGCCACCGCGCCCGGCCAGGAATAGATTTTAAATGTTCTCACTATAAAAAAAAAGCATCTGCAGTCATGGATATGTTAATTAGCTTAATCATTCTTCAATGTGTATGTACATAAAATATCACATTGTACTTCATAAGTAGATATTATTTGTCAAAAATAAAAATTTAAGTAAAAGAGTAAATCAAGTTCCCTAGTTATTCTCTTTCATAGGATCTGTGTCTTACCACGTTGTATTTTTGTTAGATTAATTTGATGCCTACTTCTTACACTAGACTAAACTTTATAAAGTAGGGATCATGTGTGTTTTAATCATTACTTGATCCCTAGCATAGAACATGACAACTACATAGTAGTAGACCCGCAATACATCTCTGTTTACTCAGTGTCAGACAAAGCAGGTTTGGAACCCAAATATTCTGACTCCAAGGTCCTGCCTCCCAGTACTGATAAGAAGTAGTAAAGAAGCTAACACTTATTAGGTACCTTAAAGAACTAGTTTTCTAAAGAATTCTCTCTGGGAAATACTGGTTTAAGATAAATGTAAGACTTTCCATTTTAAAAACACTTTTAGGCAAGCGCTTTGCTTCTGGATCAGCTGACAAAAGCGTTATTATCTGGACATCAAAACTGGAAGGCATTCTGAAGTACACGTAAGTAACCATTTAGGTGTACAGTATTATGAGTTTGATGCTTATTGAATAATTGCAGCAAAAGCCTCTTAGAGGCTACATCTTAGAAAAGATGTAGGAGAAAACTTTTTTCTCTTAAATTGAACTTGAAATTAAGTTGTGGGTGTGTGGTTGGTATAGGAAGATTGAGTAGTGAATAAGTTAATGAATATTTCTTGGCCACTTACTGGCGTGGTCAGCACTGGGCCAGGTGCTTTCATGAAGCTCATCTCAGTTCATCTGACATTGTAGACTTTATCCCACCCCCAACCTGTCATCTTCCAGTGGCCCTATCTCAGAGAATGGCCTTATATCCACCCAGTGTCAAATGTCAGAAACTTGGGGTCAGTGTGCTCCAGGCCTCCTCTCACTATTGGAGATCTGCTGTGTTCTTCCCCTGTTCCTCTACTAGTTAGTCCCTACTTATCCTGCAAATCTCAGACTCAAATGTCACTTTCTTTGTAAGGACTTTCCTGCCTCTCTAGGCTGGGACAGATCTCTTTTGAGGCATTTCTCACAATCGCAGTTTTAGATTTATTCTGGTGACTGATTAGTATTGCTCATCAGCCTGTAAGTTCCATAAGAGCAGATACTGCATCTGTTTTTTTTTTCTCACTCTTGTGTCCCTGATACGATGCCTAGCCCATACTTGGTACTCACCAATCTTTCTTTCTTTCTTTCTTTCTTTCTTTCTTTCTTTCTTTCTTTCTTTCTTTCTTTCTTTCTTTCTTCCTTCCTTCCTTCCTTCCTTCCTTCCTTCCTTCCTTCCTTTCTTCCTTTCTTTTCTTTCTTTCTTTCTTTCTTTCTTTCTTTCTTTCTTTCTTTCTTTCTTTCTTTCTTTCTTTCTTTCTCTCTCTCTCTTTCTTTCTTTCTTTCTTTCTTTCTTTCTTTCTTTCTCTTTCTTTCCTTCCTTCCTTCCTTCTTTCCTTCCTTTCTTTTCTTTCTCTCTCTCTCTTTCTTTACCTCCCTCCCTCCCTCTCTCTCTCTTTCTTTTTTCTTTCTTTCTCTTTCCTTCTTTCTTTCCTTCCTTCCTTCCTTCCTAAGTTCCATAAGAGCAGATACTGCATCTTTTTTTTTTCTCACTCTTGTGTCCCTGATACAATGCCTAGCCCATCCATAATTGGCACTCACCAATTCTTTCTTTCTTTCTTTCTTTCTTTCTTTCTTTCTTTCTTTCTTTCTTTCTTTCTCTTTCTTTCTTTCTTTCTTTCTCTTTCTCTCTCTCTCTCTTTCTTTCTCTTTCCCTTCCTTCCTTCCTCCCTTCCTCCCTTCCTCCCTTCCTCCGTTCCTCCCTCCCTTCCTCCCTCCTTCCTTCTTTCCTCCCCCCTTCCTTCTTTCCTCCCCTTCCCTTCCCTTCTTGATTGGCTCTTGCTCTGTCTCCCAGGCTACAGCACAGTGGTACCTAGCTCACTGCAACTACAACCTCCCAGGCTCAAATAATCCTCTTACTTCAGCTTCCCAAATAGCTGGAACTGCAGGTGTACACCACTACACCTGGCCAATTTTTAAATTTTTTTTTCTTGGTAGAGGCAGGGTTTCACTTTGTTGCCCATACTGGTCTTGAACTCCTTGGCTCATTCTGTCCTCTAACTACTGGGATTACAAGTATGAGCCACTGCACCTGGCCTCTTTTCAATTGTGGTAAAATATACATGACATAAAATTTATCATATTAACTACTTTTTAAGTTTACAGTTTAATGTTAAATACATTTACATTGTTGTGCAACCAATCTCCCAAACTCTTTTATCCTGCTAAACTAAAATTCTATATCCTTCAAATTACCTGCTCACCCTTCTCTCCTACCCCCAGCCCCTGAAAACCACCATTCTACTTTCTTTCTCTCTGAGTTTGACTGCTTTACATACCTCATATAAGTAGAGTCATACAATATTTGTTCTTTTGTGGCTGGGTTATTTCATTTCACGTAATGTCCTCAAGGCTAATCTGTGTTGTAGCATGTGTCAGAATTTACTTCCTTTTTTTTCTTTATTATTATTATTTTTTGTGAAGATGAGGTCTCACTATGACTCCTGAGCTCAAACAATCCTCCCTCGGGTGCCCAAACTGCTGGGATTACAGGTGTGAGCCACTGGGCTCAGCTTCCTTCCTTTTTAAGTCTGAATATTATTCCTTTGTATATATAGACCACATTTTCTTTATCCATTCATCTGTTGATGGACACTTGTGTTGCTTCCACTTCTTAGCTATTATGAATAATGCTGCTATGAACATGGGTGTACAAATCAACAAATAATTTTTGAATAAATGAATGAATGAATGAGTGATGTTGTAAGTAAAGTATTACCCAAAAGTGAAGGAATAAAACTGGGGCTGAGATGCCATGCATGGTACATGATTTGCTCAGTTTTCATTGTTGTCGAAGGATCTCTCATGTTTCCAGATCTTGGTCTGTAATGTTTTCATTGCACCTCCATCTTACATTTCTGGGCCTCCGCAAAACAGTAAGAGTAACAACCACAAATAAAGCACCTAAAGGCCAAGGTGGAAGGATTGCTTGTGGCCAAGCGTTCAAAACCAACCTGGCCAAAAGCGAGTCCCCATCTCTATAAAAAAGAAAACAGTAGGTGAGAAGAATTAATTATTTTGGAGTAGGAGAATTAATTTCTGTGCTTTTTGTTGGTCACTTGCAGAAGTGCAAGTGGTCTGTAGTCAGAGGCTGTGGGCTCATTATTAAAATCTTCAGTTGTAGCCACTGAAATGTTTGTGGTTTGCTGCATAGTAATCTACAGTTGTTTACTTCCCAGGCACAATGATGCTATACAGTGTGTCTCCTACAATCCTATTACTCATCAACTGGCATCTTGTTCCTCCAGTGACTTTGGTAGGTTCTGATTCCTGATGTCCTGTCCTGAAATAACTGAAAATCTGGGCTAAAAATGCTGAAATGCATTCAGAATATGGTGATTTTATCCTGAGAGAGTTAATACTACTTCTCTGCCTTCAATGGCTGAGGGGAGGCTGACAGTTATTCTTTAAATCGTGTAGAAACCAAGATAGTGAATGGTGACCTTTACTCTGGTAAGACATCAGAGACTACAGGAAGGGCCCCAGCAAAGGAAATGGTAAGAAGATTGGGAGGGCACAGGCATAACTTGATGTTGCTGCCTCTGGGAAGCTTTCCCTTGGTGTTACTGCCTCTAGGAAGCCTTCCCTGACTCACCGTGGCAAGGACAGTGCAGTTGTCCTCACCTTTGTATTGACCCACATCTGTGTGTATGTGAAATTCTTCACTGTTGCAGTTGTACTTCTTGCACAGTTTGTCATCATTACTTGTTGGGGCGGCTGTAGCTGTCCTCCCTGAGGGGCTGAACACCTTGAGGAGTTCATCCTGGCCATGGTCCCGTGCCAGTGTTACAGCACTGGTGTAGTACTGGCACAAAAGAGGTATCAGTAAAATGTCTATGGAGGGAAGAAGGGAGTGAAATTGGGCAGAGGCTTATAGGTTATTTCCATTAATGGTTAATTCTGTTTTCAGCTCTATCAGTCTGTGTTCCTTGCTAGTGGATACAATGGAGTCACTAGATGAGGAGTCAGAGGCCTAATCCCTCTCAGTGTTTCAGTTCCCTTATCTAAAAGGAGCATGCTACTCACTGTCTCACTGATACGGTTCTGGTTCTGAGGTTCAAAAGAGAGAATGGAATTGAAAGCCAATTGTATAAATACATGGAGAAAGGCCTATCATTTGTTTAACGTGTTTTATAGCATTTTCTTCATGTGAAGCACTGGTCTGTATGCTTATACTGGAAGATTAAAAAGACAAAATAGAATCCCTACCCTCAAGGAACTTATGGTCTTAGGGGAAGGTGGGATTTTAAAAAATACAATATTAAAGTTGAATGCTTGCAGTGTGCTAGGCACTGTTCTGAGGATTAGAAATGAATTTTTATTTGAGCTTTATGACAGCCCCTGAGGTGTCAGGTATTATTCCCACCCTACTGATGAAAAAGAGGTAAATGTCCCTTAGCTAGTAGGTAGAGGAACCAGGGCTTGGACCTTAGACCAGGTGATTACATAGAAAGCCTGCCCTGCTAAGCACTGCTGAAGGAGGCCCAAGAAGAAGGAGGTTCCTCCAGCTGGGAGCTCCAGGCAGGCTTAGTGGAACACAGATAACATGTGCACAAGTCAGAATGTTTGGAGAAGCGTTTTGGACCAGGGAAAAGGCAAAAAATAACTTGTTTGATGTTGCACTTGGCTATATATTTGTGCCCTGGAGTTACCTTCTTGATTGTACTTCGCAACTTGGCAAATAGAATAATTTGCTTATGTTATCTAGACATATACTTGTTGCTATGAGGCACTGAGCCAGGGCATCTGGGACAGGGAGGAGCAAGCCTTAGGTGACCAGTATGCCATGGAAGAGGCACAGCTCAGATAAGGTTTATGTGTTGTGATTGAGACCTATGAAAGAAAACTAGATTTTCAGAAAGCATTGTTATTTTAAATGCTAGGTTATATTCTGGTTGCAATGTCAGAGTTATGAACAGTGAAATTGTCATTTCTTTGAGAGTCAGATCCCTGAAAAGTTGGCTGGCACTTTACCAATCTATCTTATTTTTCTTCTGAAAGAATTATAGATTCATAGTAAGTTACAAAGATGCTATCAAGAAGTCTACGTACTTTTCATCCAGTTTCCCCTAGTGGATCCATCTTATGTAACTATTATACAATATCAAGACTAGGAAACTGAGACTGGCACAAAGTGTGTATATTATATAGTTCTGTTGTTTTATCACATGTGTAGATTACCACCAGTGCAACACAGAGCTAAGCCATCACCATGAAGTTACCACTTACTGTCATATCTACTCACCTTACCTCCAGTTATTTCCAAACCCTGGTAACCACAAATCCGTTCTCCATTTCTATAATGTTGTCATTCAAGAATGTTATAGAAATAGAATCATACAGTAAGTATATGACCTTTTGAGATTGTGTTTTTTCATTCAGCATAAAGTCCTGGAGATCCATCTAAGTTGTTGTATGTTTCAATTATTTGTTCCTTTTTATTGCTGGGTAGTATTCCAACCAATCCATCTTCTTTTATATTATTATGCATTGAAGGGTTGTGGTCTCCTGAACAGAAGTCTGTCTCCAAACACAAATCAAGCAGCAAGATCATCTGCTGCAGGTAAGTGCAGCTCTGACAATAAGATTTATGTTCCTTCATCTTCCACACAGACTTTCAAAATCCAATTATTTCATGCAGCGGAGAAGGTCTTGTGTTAAGTAGTTGGTTTAGGCCCCTGTATTTCCTTTTTTCTTCTTTTTTGGTCTCCTCAATGGGAAAGACCTATGCCTTTGATCATGAAGCAAAAGAGAACTACAAGTTGCCTTCATGCAGTTACCTAGCAACAAGCCTCAACACCCAGCTATACTGAGTGGAGGCTTGTAGAAAATGTGAGGCTGTCATTGTCCAGGCAGCATCTGTGGGGAAGAAAGCTTTCCCTCCCACACTTTGATGCTAGACCTGGATTAGAATCCAGAATCTGTCATTGACAGGCCATGTGACCTCAAGAAAGTTATTAAATCTTTCTGAGCTGGAGCTTTATATTCCTCATCTGACAAATAGGGATAAAAATACTGACTTGACGGGATTGTCGTGAAATGTACGCAAACTTATGAGTATAAAGCATACAGGACAGCACCTGGTGTACAGCAGACACTCTAAATGGTAGCTGTTCAGCTTCTAGGAGTATATCCCTTCCGTTCAGCATCTGAGCACCTTCTACAAAGCAAGCACTGTCCTAGGGATTGGAAGACACTAAGTCTGTTCTTAAGGTGCTCTTTAAGTGGGAGGGGATTGAGATGGAGAGTGAGAAGTGGTGGCTGGCCCAGAGATGTAGGCACAAGGTAAGGGCTGTCATAGAGGTGTGTACACAGGGCTGGGGGAGCTCAGAAAAAGGTACCAAATAGTGCCTTCACTTCTCACTGTTGATTACAGAACTAAATAGCATTTTAAGTTTGATCCTCTGACTTTATGTCAGGACTGGCAATAATGAAACCATATCCATCCCAGCTGTTGCTGCCTCATCAGACTTTTATTTCAAACCAAGGCATCATCCTCACTAGTTTTACCTTCTGTGGGATGCTTCCTCTATCCCCATGCCTTTTGTTGGTTGTGTGCACAGCTGGACAAATGATGGTCAGTACCTGGCGCTGGGGATGTTCAATGGGATCATCAGCATACGGAACAAAAATGGCGAGGAGAAAGTGAAGATCGAGCGGCCAGGGGGCTCCCTTTCGCCAATATGGTCCATCTGCTGGAACCCTTCAAGGTACTCTTTAAATTGTCCTCCTTCTAGAACAAACACCATCATGAAGAAGGGCTTTCTGCCTTCCTGAGGTCTCCCTAGATTCAAAGGCTTCTCACCTCACTTGAATAGTCTGTTTTAGAACCTGCTCCATTTGTATGGATTTTTTTTTTAACGGTCCTGCTACCTAAGAATGTATGGAATTTTTTAAGAGCCTGCTGAAAAGTTCAGTTTTGGAATGCATCCTGGAGATTTTAGCAAAGCAGATGAGCTATTTAGGCCAGGCCAAAGTGTGTGTGTGGCATGTGTGCACACATGTGCATGCACACATATGTGTATGTGCACATGTACATGAGTATGGTGTGTGTGTGGTGTGTGAGTGATGCAGGAGGACCGTTTCCTTATGAATCAGTAGTGGAGCTCTGTGCTGTGGCTTCATTTTTGCCTTTCCTTTTTTAGTTCTTCCCTCCAAGTTTGGGCAGAATATGTGCCCACCTGTTAATAAATAGCTTTTTCATGAGCCTTTTTGTTGCCTTTGCCAGAAAGTCAAAATTAAGTCTGCAGACATCCCTAAAGCCTAGAGATACACGAGCAGTTGGCACCTACCTTCAAAATTTTGTACACACTTTCCTTTCTATGTCCATGTGACTTTGACAGTAAACTAATTATATGCTTTTTTTTTTTTTTTTTTTTTTTTTTTTTGAGATGGAGTCTCACTCTGTTGCCCAGGCTGGAGTGCAATGGTGCAATCTCAGCTCACTGCAGTCTCCACCTCCTGGGTTCATGCAACTCTCCTGTCTCAGCCTCCTGAGTAGCTGGGATTACAGGTGCCCGCCGCCACACCTGGCTAATTTTTTGTATTTTTAGTAGAGATGGGTTTCACCATGTTGGCCAGGCTGGTCTTGAACTCCTGACCTCAGGTTGTCCACACACCTCAGTCTCCCAAAGTGCTGGGATTACAGGTGTGAGCCATTGCACCTGACCCTATATGCTCTTTATATATCCTATGATACTATTAAACCATCAGTATCCTTTATGGAGTCCTCTGAAGGTAAATTAAAGGTCCTACTTGTTTACCAGCTCAATGTCACTTTACAGATGGTTGCCTACTTGATTTAGAAGGTTGTTTGGAAGGTTATTATGCTTCTTCCTGAATAATTTTGTCTGGCCCATGCTGTACCATGCATGTGTAATGCTATCAAAGGCCATTAGCCCACCCCAGAGTTCCTGCTGTTTGATTTGTGGCTGCAGAGGACTTTGTGGCTCTAGGCTACCATTTTTAATTCATGAGAAGCAGGATGTCCTATATAACTGGTGGCTGTCTTCCTCCAGGTAGGGTTCAGGGGCTCCTTTTATTTTTTATTTTTATTATCTTTTTTTTTTTTTTTTTCTGAGACAGGGTCTCACTCTGTCACCCAGGCTGGAGTGCAGTGGTGTGATCTTGGCTCACTGCAACCTCCGCCTCCCAGGTTCAAGCAATCCTTTTGCCTCAGCCTCCTGAGTAGCTGGGATCACAGGCACATGCCACCATACCTGTCTAATTTTTTGTATTTTTGGTAGAGACAGGGTTTCACCATGTTGATCAGGCTGGTCTTGAACTCCTGATCTCAGGTGATTCACTTGCCTCGGTCTCCCGAAGTGCTGGAATTACAGGCATTGAGTCACCGCACCCGGCCCCCAGGGGCTCCTTGACAGGATTTTAAATTATAGTTTTAGTGTAGTTCTAGGCAATGTAATTTTGAACAACTACTTACTGTCTACAGCCGATGGGAGAGTTTCTGGATGAACAGAGAGAATGAGGATGCCGAGGATGTCATTGTCAACAGATATTTTCAGGAAATCCCTTCCACTCTGAAGTCAGCAGTGTACAGTAGTCAGGGTAGTGAGGCAGAGGAGGAAGAACCAGAGGAAGAAGACGACAGTCCCAGGGACGACAACTTGTGAGTGTGTCCCAATGAGTGGGAACCCTCCTGGTAAGGGCCCAGGCCCCACACAGACTTGCCAGGACAGATGTTAAGCTCCTTGGCCAAGGGAGTACAGGGACTGGGGGGAACTGTGGGTGAAAGCTCCTTCAAAAAAAGGAGACACACCCTTAAAAATTGTGTGTGGGTTATAAAGTGATCCTGTGAGAAACTATAGGAAATACTGAAAAGACTAAAGGAGAAAGTTCAGCTTTTCTGATAAAACCCCATCACCTGAGGAAATCACTGTTAGCAATCTAGTGTATTTCTCCTCAGTCTTTTAGTGTGTTCATATAATTAAGTTATATTCTGCTTTTTTTCACTTAACATTATAGTGTGACCCCTTTCCAGTAACATTATAAATCCTTCAAAGAACATGATTTTTAATTGCTGAAGCGTGTGCCCTTTTGTGGATGCCCCATCATTCGACACTTCCTCTATTACTGAACACGTTTCTTAGCCTGTTCCCACACTATCCCTTACCTTACCTTGCATTTTCTAGGATGCATGTCAGTGAGGAAGCCCTTACCTTAGCCACAGTCCTCACACTCAAATCCTGGCTGTCCAGTCATTCTTTCTTCTCTTCAGTCGAGATTGCCTGTAGGGAAAACATGGGCAGGCCAGAGTGGGGAAAGCTGGGGTAGCCAGGATATCACAGTTGGGCACTAGCTTGGGACTTTCCGAACTGTTTTCCATGGTACCTGAGTTTCCTTGGAAGAATCCCACCCTGAGGTCATGGGGGCTAGGAAGTGGGGACGGTAAAGGAGGAAGGTATGGCTTTGGGTCCCCATTTCAGTGCTTTTGATTGTTTCAACATGAGTTTTTGTTTCGTAAAGAATCCTACTGCCCTAGGAGGAAAAAGGGGGTTGAAAATCACTAATCCACCTCACAGGGACTGAGCCCAGCCCAGAGCCATATGTGGCCTCCCCAAGAGGGCTCACTGGTGGGCTGGGCTTCTGGATTGTTTGTACTTTGGACTTCAGTGCCAGTTCACACAAAGATCATCTGCAGGCTCCCTCATTAACGTCCCTCTTGGCCTTTGTCTCTTTTCCCTTAGTTTTGAGTTAGTGCCTATGACATTTGCCACTCTTGACTGGGTTTTACAAACAAGGCCTTAGCTTGTCTGCCTACATATCCAGTGGTGCTACCAGGTGACCACAAGACACTGGGATCAGAAAAGCTGGAATTAATAAACAAAGAGGCAACATTAGGTGGATTAAGACCCAGCCTCAAAGGCTAGGAATGCTTTTGGTTTTTTTCTTTTTTTTTTGAGTCAGTCTGGCCCTGTCACCTAGGCTGGAGTGCAGTGGCACGATCTCGGCTCACTGCAACCTCTGCCTCCCGGGTTCTAAGTGATTCTTGTGCCTTAGCCTCTGGAGTAGCTGGGATTACAGGCACGTGACACCACACCCGACTAATTTTGTATTTTCAGTAAAGATAGGGTTTCCCCATGTTGGCCAGGCTGGTCTCGAACTCCTGACCTCGGGTGATCCACCCGCTTCAACCTCCCAAAGTGCTGGGATTACAAGCGTGAGCCACCACGTGCTGCCACTTTTCTCTTGAACTAGATTCCCAGGTAGCTTGCTCCTTAGCCTCAGGCAAGGGAGTTTCTCCTATGTGCTGGTCCTACAGTCCCAGCCCCATGGTACTGATCCCCATAGGTTATCAGTTTCAAAGACAAGTTGCATGTTTTCAGAGAGCCCATTGCTCTTTTTTGAAAATTAGAGTCGGTCAGAAACCATTTCACTTGTGCAAGGACCCCCACCTGCAGGAGAACTTATTTTTAGATGTTAATTTTCTTTCTTCAGGAAGAGCAAGCAAGTTTTCCTTCTATTAAAAAATGCGTTTGTATTGAAAGAGATGTTTCTCTGCCATCTCCCCACATTTTCCAGTATGTAAGAGAAAAGCAGTCTCAATATTGGAGCCTTGTCTGTCTTAGTGTTGCTCCCCAGTAAGCTCTGAAATGAGAGGTTTATATTCTTCAGCTGTAGCAGTGTCCCCAGCACCATAAGCTCATAGCAGAGGACTCAGTGAAACAGCAGATCCCAGGAAGGCTAAACCTCACCTCTGCTTCATCCCATAAGACTGATGGATGGGTTGGGCCAAATTACAACTTTTGGCCTCAGTAAAGCTGTACAACATTTGGCAACCTGAGGCCAGGGCTCTCTTGTTCCTGTTGTTTAAGCCGTTAGAGCTATACTCATCAGCAGGCTGTGGCCCTTCATAACGTCTTTTATCTTCTGTTGATTAGAGAGGAACGTAATGACATCCTGGCTGTGGCTGACTGGGGACAGAAAATTTCCTTCTACCAACTGAGTGGAAAACAGGTATGTAATCCAATTGCAAATCCAATTGCAGTCATGCCTGTTATATTTTCATTTTCTGAGATTCTGTTACTATTCATTATACATTATCATTGTTAGTTCCTGCTTATTGAGTGTTTGCTGTGATACCAGGTACTGTGCTCACTGCTTTGCATGTTTTATCCTATTTTATTCTTATAAAACCCAATGAAGTGGGTACTACTTTCCTTATCAACTTTTTAGGAATGAGTAAACCAGAGCTCAGAGCAGTGAAATTATATGTCCAAGATTTCATACGGCTAGTAAATGGTGGAGCCTAGGAGTTAAACCCAGATTGGTTTGACTTTAAAATCTAGCTCTTAGTTTTGACCTTACTTTTCTCTATTTGCTTTCATTCATTCAACTAACGTTTATGAGTACCCACTTAGGACAGCCCTTTCACAGAGGAGCTGCTGACATAGAGCCGGGAAAGTGATAGTCTCTACCTGCAAGAGCTCACAGGCTGGCGGAGACACACTTGATAGCAAAGAGCCCCTGTGTGATGCGGTGTGTGACATAATAGAAAGCTATATAGATGGCTTTTAGGGATACAAAAGAGGGTAACATCACTACTTGGTAGAGATGGGAAGTCTTGTTAGAAGTTATCTTTGAGCAGGCTATCTTTGAGTTAGGCTGAGGATATTGGGAATGGTGTTTCAGGCAGAAAAAAAATAGCATGTATCAAGGCAGGAAGGAATGAAAATATATGACATTTCAGAGAATGATGAGTTGTACAGGGTGACTGCATCTCAGATTTTGTGACCTGAAGACAGAGCTTAAGAGAAACATGGGGACATGATTTTTCTTTTTTTTTTTGAGACAGTCTCACTCTGTGGCCCAGGCTGGAGTGCAGTGGCGCCATCTTGGCTCACTGCAAGCTCCAACTCCCAGGTTCACACTATTCTCCTGCCTCAGCCTCCTGAGTTGCTGGGACTATAGGTGCCCACCACCACGCCCGGCTAATTTTTTTTTGTTTGTTTTTGTATTTTTAGTAGAGACGGGTTTTCACTGTGTTAGCCAGGATGGTCTCCATCTCTTGACCTCGTGATCCCTCCGCCTTGGCCTCCCAAAGTGCTGGGATTACAGGTGTGAGCCACTACGCCCAGCCTATGATTTTTTGTTTGTTTGTTTTGAGATAGAGTCTCGCTCTGTCGCCCAGGCTGGTGTGTAATGGTGCAATCTCGGTTCACTGCAACCTCTGCCTCCCGGGTTCAAGCGATTCTCCTGCCTCAGCCTCCTGAGTAGCTGGGATTACAGGCATGTGCAACCACGCCTGGCTAATTTTGTATTTTTGGTAGAGATGGGGTTTCTCCATGTTGGTGAGGCTGGTCTCAAACTCCTGACCTCAGGTGATCTGCCTGCCTTAGCCTCCCAAAGTGCTGGGATTATAGGCGTGAGCTGCCACCACACCTGGCCGAGGATGTGATTATAAAGGACCTGAGTAGTGAGAATAAGAAGTTCAAACATCATATATTGTAAGTATTCAGGAGCCATAGATGGCAGGAAGTAGCATCACAGATTCTTGCTTCAGAAGAATAACTTGTTTCCGTGGAGGGTGGATTAAAATATAGAGAGCATGGTAGTAGGATGACTTATTAGTAGGCAGGAAACGCCAAGAATTAGAGTAAAGGTGCTGGATACAGGGTTCATACCATAGCCAAGCAAGTGAGAAATGCAACCTGTGCAGTGAAGCCTTTAATTTCATAGCATCCTTATTCCTCAAAATATGTCATGCAAGACGGAAGAGTTTTAGATGTGTGTAGCCCAGCTTTTGGGCCATTTCTTCTACCCCTGCCTTACCATTGGTCATTTCTTTTGTATTCAAGTAAAGAAAAGATAAAGGGAGCAGATAATGAAGTGTTTTCTCAGTTTGCCATGGTTGATTTCCTAAAACTCTCATTTTAATTAACTATCATCTAGTTTCCCTGGCCCTCTCTATTCATCCGCTTAATGTGTGTACGTCATCATTCAACAGATATTTATAGGCACACCTACTGTGTACGAGGCACTGGATGTGGGTACTGAAGACTCTTGGGAACAAATGACCGCACTGCAGTGGGAGGGAATGGGGTCTTGTTGCTGTGGCCACAGTAGAAAAGAGCTCAACATGGCGGAGGGCCACAGGAAATATCTTGCATCTATGCCGCCCCAGAGCTCGTGTTGTGGCCCAAAGTTTCTGCATGATAAGCAACCTTAACCTGCTGAGATGGCTGAGATGGTAATCCCAACTTGTTTGGGACAGTAAAATTGTTTTCTTGGTGGATAAGTGTCTTCCCTTCCCAATCTGGGAAGATTAGAATTAAATGTAGGATGATGAAGTAAATCAAACCCATACTTTTGTGTTAGCCTGAGGTATAATTTGTGTATTTTTGTCATTTGAAGTGTTAGTAATACTTAAGAGGATCGACTTAATAATAATAATAGCTAACATTTATTGAATTCCAGGCATTATATAAACTCTTTACAAGGATTAACTCTCTTAATCCTTGTAACAACCCTATGAGGTAAATACTGTTATCATCACCATATTACATGCAAGAAAATTGAAGCACAGAGAGGCTCAATAATTTGCCCAAAGGCACACATTTAGTCTGTGATCCACCCTGGTGAAACCCAGGCATACTGGTGCCAGAATCCATATTAGAATATCTATCAGATTAGTCTTGCAATGACCATTTAAAAGTTGTATTGAGTAATTTTATATGTCTGATTTTATTTATTTATTTTTTGAGAAAAGCTCCCACCCTATTACCCAGGCTGGAATGCAGTGGTATGATCATGGCTCACTACAGCCTTGATCCCCCTGGGCTCAAAGAATCCTCCTACCTCAGCCTTCCAAGTGACTGGGACTATAGGCACATTTCACCACACCCTGCTAATTAAAAAAAAAATTTTTTTTTTAGAGATAGGGTCTTCTATGTTGTCCAGGCTGGTCTCAAACTCCTGGGCTCAAGTGATTCTTCTGCCTTGGCTTCCCAAATTCCTGGGAATACAGGTGTGAGCCACCATATCTGGCCTACTTCTGATTTTAAGTGGAAAGATATAAGAATTATATTTAAAGTGTATATTATTTAAGGTTCCTAAGCAATATTGGAATGCTTAAGCAATTTGTTGTGTTTTTCTGCTTGGTGTTCACTGAGCTTTTTGAATGTACACATTGATATCTTTATGTCTTTCACCAAATGTGGAAACATTTTGGCCATGATTTCTTGAAATATTTCTTCTTCTCCATTCTTTCCTTTCCTCTGGGACTCTAATTACACTTACATTAGACCTTTTGTTATTGTTCTCCAAGTCATTGAGGCTCTGTTATTATTTTTTTAAATCCCTTCTTTTCCCTCCGATCTTCAGATTGGAGGATTTCTGTTGTTCAGTATTAAATTTCATTGACTCTTCTGCAACTTCTGACATTTCTCTTAAGCTCTTTCAGTGCATATTTGTTTCAGTTATTATTGCATTTTTCTGTTCTAGAATTTCCATTTGGTTCTTTTTTCCTTTTCATTCATTACAAGCATATTTTTCTTTATCGTCTTAACCATAGTTATAATAGCTGTTTTTTTTTTTTTTTCTTTTTTTTTTTTAGACAGAGTCTTGCTGTGTCGCCCAGGCTGGAGTGCAGTGGCCGGATCTCAGCTCACTGCAAGCTCCGCCTCCTGGGTTCACGCCATTCTCCTGCCTCAGCCTCCCGAGTAGCTGGGACTACAGGCGCCCGCCACCTTGCCCGGCTAGTTTTTTTTGTTTTTTTTATTTTTTAGTAGAGACGGGGTTTCACCGGGTTAGCCAGGATGGTCTCGATCTCCTGACCTTGTGATCCACCCGTCTCGGCCTCCCAAAGTGCTGGGATTACAGGCTTGAGCCACCGCGCCCTGCCAATAGCTGTTTTAAAATTCTCATCTGCAGCTGGGCATGGTGGCTCGTGCCTGTAATCCCAGTACTTTTGGAGGCTGAGGAGGGAGGATTACTTGAGGCCAGGATCATGGTTCAAGACTAGCCTGGGCTACATAGAGAGACTTCATCCCTAAAAACAAACAAACAAATTAGCCAGGCGAGGTGGCAGGCACCTATTGTCCTAGCACCTCAGGAGGCTGAGGCAGGAGTATTTCCAAGCTGAGGAGTTCAAGGCTGCAGTGAACTCTTACCACTGCACTCCAGCGTGGGTGACAGAGCAAGACCTGTGCCCAAAAAGCAAACAAAATTCTCATCTGCTATTTCTAACATCTGGGTCGTCATGGTTCAGTCTCCATTGAATATGGTTCACATTTTCTGCTTTGGGGAATTTTGAATTGTACTCAATATAGTGAGTGATACGTCATAGAGACTCATTTCCATCATGTTCCTCTGAAGATTATTGTGTATGTTTGTGTGTATATACGTTTAAGCAGGCAGTTTACTTTGCTGGGCTCAATATCAAAACTGCATGTTTTCAGTGGTGTCAGCAGCTGACATCTCTGTGCGGTTCTTTAGCTGTAGCTAGGCTGCTTGGCATCTCATCACAGTTTGTAGTTCAAGAGTTTCCAGATATTCAGCGGAGTTTATGTGCAGAATTTAAGCTCTTACTTTGCATCTCTTTTCTGGAATTTCCCACCTCACTTTCTGGGTGCTGTGGTCCTCCCAAATTCTATATTCACCCAGCATGATGCTGAAGAGGGCTACCCTCCAGCAAGAACCCTTAAAAAAAATGAGAAGTTCACCTAGTGCTTGTTCTCTTCTTCCAGATGTGCATGTGTCTTCAGTTCCTGCCTGCTTTTGGTTGCCCTGAAATGGTTGTTGTTTATGGTTGGTCCAGAGTTTATTGTTTATACTTGTGGGAGGATGTTCCGATAGGAACTACTGAGCCACTTGCAGAAGCTGCTAGCCTTCCATGTCATGATTCATAAGAATTTTTAGTTTTCTTATTAGGTTTTCTAGCATCAGATAAGTGCTAGGGAAAGTTTTGGTTGCTAGGCATTTGAAATTCCTAAAAAGGAAAGGAAATTTGAATGTATTAAACTTATAATTGCAGTTTAAATTGGTATAAGGGAATTAATTTAACTAAGTTTTAAATGGGACTGGATATTTAAGGGATTTTATAATCTGTTCAAAATTAAATTCCTTAAACAGTCAGTCAATTGGCTGTTCACTTTAACTAGATTTATAAATAGGAAAATATTTGTAAATTGAACTTAAAAACTTAAGGAGAAATCAGTTCCCTAAAGTTATTTCTTTTATAAATTGAATATTAGTTTAATAATGTTAATCACAAACAGTCTTTTTATTCACAAAAGACACCATTGGGGCAGCAAAAAACTCCAGTGGTAATAAGGAACTTGTGCTTTAGCGGGGCAGACCTGATTAACCCTGTATCTACAGGCAATGAAAGAAGTGCAATGGGATAGGCGAGCACAGGTGCTGTGGTGGGATGAGGGGATGGGGATTGGAGATGTTCCTGGAGGAGATGACACCTGGCAGACAAAGTGAGGGAAAGAGCACTCCTGGCTGGGTCTAGGGATGGTGTGGAGTACAGCACCTGTGAGGATGTGGAAACCTGAAAAAGCATTGCCTGCTTAGGAAACTTACAAGTTCATTTTGGCTGAGAGAATGACCTTGGGGGCTGAGTTTGGGAGTGACCTTCATCCTAGAAGCTGAGAAAACACCATTGAGAAAGTGAAAAGACAAGCCACAGAATGTGAGAAGTTTTACAACTCATATATCTGATAAGGGACTTGTATCTGGAATATATAAAGAACTATAAAGACAGGGCTGGGCATGGTGGTTCATGCATGTAATCCCAGTGCTTTGAGAGGCAGAGACAGGAAGATCACTTGAGAACAGGAGTTCAGAACTAACTTGGGTAACATAGTGGGACCCCATCTCTAAAAAAATATAGTTTTAATTAGCTGGGTGTGGTGGTATATGCCTCTAGTCTCAGCTCCTAGGTGTGGCAGGGGGCTGAGGCAGAGGAATTGAGCCCAGAAGTTCAAGGTTGCCTTGGGTTATGATCATATGAGTGCATTCCAGCCTAAGCCATAGAGTGAGACATTTCTTTGTGGCCAATAAGCACATGAAATGATGCTCCATATCATTAGCTATCAGGAAAATGCAAATTGAAACCACAATGAGATAATTCACACTCACTAAAATGGAGAAATTGGAATCCTCATACGCTGCTAATGCAAATATAAAATGGTGCATTCACTTTGAAAAGTGTAGCAGTTCCTAAAAGGGTTCAACGTAGAGTTTAAAAAGAAAAAAATTTAGGCCAGGAGCTGTGACTCACTCCTGTAATCCCAGCACTTTGGGAGGCCAAGGTGGGTGGATCATCTGAGCTCAGGAGTTTGAGACTAGCCTGGACAACAAGGAGAAACACCGTCTCTGCAAAAAATACAAAAATTAGCCAGGCGTGGTGGTGCACACCTGTAGTCCCAGCTACTTGGGAGGCTGAGGTAGGAGGATCACTTGAAGGTGGGAGGTGGAGGTTTCAGTGAGCCAAGATTGCGCCGCTGCACTCCAGCCTGGGCAACAGAGTCAGACCCTGTTTCAAAAAAAAAAAAAAAATTTTGCTAGGCATGGTGGCACTCACCTGTGGTCCTGGCTACTTAGGAGGCTGAAGCAAGAAGATCACTTGAGTCCAGGAATTCAAGGCTACAGTGAGCCGTAATTGCACCACTGCACTCCAGCCTGGGTGACAGAGTGAGACCCTATCTTGAAATAAATAAGAATTAAAAAATAAAGAGAAGTAGTATGGGTGTAGTTGCAGAATAAAAGGACAATCTTTATTTTTTTTTTGAGATGAAATCTCGCTCTGTCGCCCAGGCTGGAGTGCAGTGGCCAGATCTCAGGTCACCGCAAGCTCCACCTCCCGGGTTTACGCCATTCTCCTACCTCAGCCTCCCAAGTAGCTGGGACTACAGGCGCCCGCCACCTCGCCCGGCTAGTGTTTTATATTTTTTAGTAGAGACGGGGTTTCACCGTGTTAGCCAGCATGGTGTCCATCACCTGACCTTGTGATCCGCCCGTCTCGGCCTCCCAAAGTGCTGGGATTACAGGCTTGAGCCACCACGCCCGACCAGGACAGTCTTTAAACTGAATAAACTCAGCTTTATAAAATACTTTTTTAAAAAAGGCAGAGAAAAGAAGCTGAGGGAACCCACTGAACTGTATGAAGAACTGTATTTGCAGAGGGAGGGGGGCCTTTGGGAGCAAAACCACCCACAGTCTCCATCTTGGCTGAGGAGCCCTGACACACCTGCACTCCTGGAGCACTTGGGTGGGACTAGGGGAGGTGCCACTGACTCTAGGAGCTAAGGATTGGGCTGTGTGGTGGGGGAGTAGGGAGATGCAGAGGCAGAGAGGCCCGTGTTCACCATGGGATGACACGGGAGAAAAGGCTGGCCAGCTATCCCTGTCTTCCCAACTCCCTCTAAAGTTGGCGAGAAAAGCCCTTAATTGTATTGCAATGGTTATGGATTCGGAAATGGTTTTTCCCTTGGTGTGTGTTCTTTTTCCTCAGATTGGGAAGGATCGGGCACTGAACTTTGACCCCTGCTGCATCAGCTACTTTACTAAAGGGGAGTACATTTTGCTGGGGGGTTCAGACAAGCAAGTATCTCTTTTCACCAAGGATGGAGTGCGGCTTGGGACTGTTGGGGAGCAGAACTCCTGGGTGTGGACGTGTCAAGTGAAACCGGATTCCAACTATGTGGTAAGAAGAGGAAGTTTGTTCTGTGGGGCCATGGCTTGAAGAGGCACTGAGCAGCCGCCATATGTCGAGAGACATATCACTGGGGTTTGTGTCTGACAAATGGGAGTGCAGACTGTCTCCAGAGAGCTGGGAATTGACAGTTCTGTCACCCTGCAGGTGGTCGGCTGCCAGGACGGCACCATTTCCTTCTACCAGCTTATTTTCAGCACAGTCCATGGGCTCTACAAGGACCGCTATGCCTACAGGGATAGCATGACTGACGTCATTGTGCAGCACCTGATTACTGAGCAGAAAGGTGAGAAGCAGGTCTAGACCTTGGGAAGAGGGACAGGTGGAAGCAGGTGGAAAGGGCTACTGACAGGGCACTTGAAATGACAGGAAAGGTTTCTCCTTGGCCTTTTGAAAACATGTTAGCCACTGGGTCTGTGTCTTGGGGTTTTGGTTTTTTTTTTTTTTTTTTTTTGGTGGGGGAACTAGGGATGCCAATCTCCTTGAGGATCTCATGAAAGCAATAAACCCTCTCTGAAAAATGTACCAACTCAGAATTTTGCACATAATTTCAAGGAGTACGTGAATTTCCTGAGTGAGGGAGGATGATTTATGACAGATTGGAGCCAGGTGGTTGACCTACATGGGTCTTTGTGGACCTTTATCCTTTCTGGTCAGAGTCACTCAGGGGTGCTTCTCCCTCAGCCCAGTCTCCACTTGCCTCCTGCTGGGTCCTTCTGCCAGAGATGAGCAGCGGAATTGGATTGGCACAGGCTTAGTCAGAAGATCAGGGTTCCAGGCCTAGCATAGTCATTCCAAGCCCTAAGACCACAGTCTCTCCCTCTGTCCACTTAAGTAGCTGTGCTGGTTAAATAGGCTCAGAATCCACTTACTCCAGGTGTATTCATATCTGCATGTGCTGGCCTTAGTGCACTGCTGGGTGCCTTTGCAAGGGATCCAGGTGGGGGGTTCTTTTGTAGATTCAGATGAGTGTCCTTTGGTCCCCCTGGAGGACCATATCTTTTTGAAGATTCTGGCTGTGGTAGCTGGGGCAAAGCCTCTTGGACAGCTCCACAGTGTCCCCCTCAGGGACATTTTCTCCACCTGGTCTGTAGTGGGAGTGTAGAGCCTGGTGTGTACCAGAAATTAACGTGTCTTTCCTGTTTGTCAAGGAGGTGGGCAGGGAGCGGCCAGAGGTGAGGTCAGTTACTTAGGCAGGCTTCCAATCACCACGGCCACTAGTGCTGTAGAGAGGAGTTTATATTTGTATCCAGCAAGTGATGGTAACAGTGAGTAGTTCATTTCCATACTCAGTTGTCAGCCTTGGACCGTGAAGATTGGATCCTATAGGACTTTGGATCCCAGTGCTCAGCAGAGTTGATTGTGTATATTAGATACTCTAAAGATTTTTCAATGAGAGTATCTCACTTTAATTGCCAGTAGCGTTAAGTAAATGATGGCTTTTAATTTCTCTCCCTTCCACCTTACTTAACAATCTCTTGCTAGAACTAGATATTTTTTTCTTTGACAGTTCGGATTAAATGCAAAGAGCTTGTCAAGAAGATTGCCATCTACAGAAATCGATTGGCTATCCAACTGCCAGAGAAAATCCTCATCTATGAGTTGTATTCAGAGGACTCATCAGACATGCATTACCGGGTAAAGGAGAAGATTATCAAGAAGTTTGAGTGCAACCTCCTGGTGGTGTGTGCCAATCACATCATCCTGTGCCAGGTGGGCAGCAGTGTGTTGGAGGGGTTGGGCTGAATTCCATTTGTGCTCCCTGCAATGATAGGGTGCCCATCTCATGGTTTTAAAACTGGTCACTAGAAAACAAGTCTGTTTCCATCAGACTAAGTGGTGCTTATTGGCTTTCATTTTCCTGGCATCTGGATGAACCAGACTCTATTAGCAAGTCATGAGCCATAAACTGAAGAATGCTTTTTGTTTTATTTTATTATTTTTTTAAAAATATTTTTCTTGAGACAGACATGGTCTCGCTCTGTTGCCCAGGCTGGAATGCAGTGGCACAATTCTGGCTCACTGCAGCTTTGACCTCCCAAGCTCAAGCAGTCCTCCTCCTGAGTAGCTGGCACGTGCCACCACACTCAACTAATCTTTTATTTTTAGTAGAGATGCGAGGCTGTACTTTGGGAGGCTAAGGCAGGAGGAATGCTTGAACCCAGGAGTTTAAGACCTGTCCAGCCTCCCAAAGTACTGGGATTATAGGTGTGAGCCACTGTGTCTAGCCAAGAATACCTTTTTCTATTGCAGAACATTTTGTCATACTGGGATTAGATATATTTTAATGACTTAAAACATAAATTGGTGTTATACAAAATGAAGATAGTTTTTATGGATAAGCATATACACATAAAATTTGTATCAACTCAGTAATTGTCAAGGAAATTTTAATTCCTGAAAGATTTTTTTTTTCATAGAAAAAAATTTCTCAAGATTCCTAGAGAGTGTCTAAGTCAATGCCAAGAGAAGTTTGGAAAGACTTTGAGAGAAGGCTAGTCCAGCATCTTGGAAGTAGAGGTGGATTTAGTTTTACATAGCTCTATTGGAGGTGATGAAAGAGAATAATTCTTTAGGAATCACTGTAGTGTAAAATACTATTAAAATCTCTCAAAGTCTGGAACTGGGCTGCGTGCAGTGGCTCACGCCTGTAAATCCCAGCACTTTGGGAGGCCAAGGCAGGATGATCACTTGAGGCTAGTAGTTTGAAAGAAGTCTAGAAAACAAACTGAGACCCCATCTCTACAAAAAAAAAATTATTTAATTAGCTGGGTGTGATGGTACTTGCCTGTAGTCCCAGCTACTTGGGAGGCTGAGGCAAGAGGATTGCTTGAGCCAGGAATTGGAGGCTGCAGTGAGCTATGATAGCGCCACTGCACTCTAGTCTGGGTGACAGTGAGACTCTGTCTCAAAAATCAATCAATCAATCAATCAATAATCAAAGTCTAGAACTTCAAGCGGTTTAGGGTTGCCACAAATTACAGGATACGTGTGGCAAGTATGTGTACTGGCAAGTATGTGTACTTTTGAGTGCTGCCTCTGGCCTAGGCTGCCTGGATGGAGGTTTGCATTGAAAGTCTGAGGCTGAATTGGGCTCTGTGGGGAAGCCTTGCACGGAGTCTTGGATTAACGATGCCAATTATGGGGTCTACATTATGGGGTTAGATAGATAGATACTGAATGTGTAGGTATTTTCACACTTTAGGGGCAGGAAGACCTCCTTGGGGAGGGCTGGGAGCACTTATTCTGTTGAATTTCCATGAGATCTGGGTTTGCTTCTTAGGAGAAACGGCTGCAGTGCCTGTCCTTCAGCGGAGTGAAGGAGCGGGAGTGGCAGATGGAGTCTCTCATTCGTTACATCAAGGTGATCGGCGGCCCTCCTGGAAGGGAAGGCCTGTTAGTGGGGCTGAAGAATGGACAGGTGAGCACTCCCGCATGTCTCCTCTCAGGCTGATAATCTACATGCACACGTGGGTGACCCGTCTAGCAATGACTCTGAGCTGGGTTCTCAGGGCAGGAAAAGGGCTTCTCTCCTCCATGGTTGAATTGTGGGGCAGCCCTGAGTTCAGGTTTTGAGGACAGCCTCAGGCCAAAGGTGCTGTGGCCGTCACACTCATAGCAGGCCCATGTTTTGGCAGAGTTGAGCTATAACCTTTGGCTACATGTAAAGTGGATTAGTGGCTTAAGGTCACCAGAAGGTGGGAGATTTGTTAGAGATGCTGCTTCTGTGGATTTCTAGAGGGAGGCAGAGATTGTTACCTAGGTCAGCTCCCGATTAGGGCAGCGAGTGGATTAAGGCAGTGTATTCCAGCATGTGTCCTAGAGAATGCTGGGTCCTCAGGGTACTGATAGATGTCGTAAGAAAAATGAGCCCTTTGGCCAGTTAGATGTGGGATATCCAGGTTACACAAAGTTAAACAGATTTCTCTGTGTGTGTGTGTGTGTGTACATGTGTGTTCTTTACTCAGCATAAGAAAAGTTCTAAGTGGGCTGCTACATGGAACTTTGAAAGTGACAATGTAACTGCATTAGCCTGACAGCCAAGCTGTGCAGCAGATGGCTTATGGCTGAGGCTTGTCAGGTCTTTGCTGGGGACGGAAGTCACGGGGCGTGAGAGCAGTGAGTGAAGTCAAGCAGCAATGCCAAGGGGAGGAACGGCCGCTTCTTTCTCAGGCAGCTCTCACTTCCCGTGGGAGGATGGACTTTGGGGTCAGGTGAACCTGAGGTCATGTTCTTACTTAGCTACTCACTGGCTTTGTCATCCTGGGCAGGTCACTTTACTTCTGTGAGGCTGATTTTACATGAGGATAATACCACATATTTCATAGGACTGTCAAAACCAGATATCATCAAGGTTGGAAGTTAAAGCCAGTGTTAAAAAACAAAAAACAAACAAAAAACACCAGGGGTATTAAAGCAGGCATGGTGGTGGGTACCTGTTGTCCCAGCTACTCAGGAGGCTGAGGCAGGAGGATCACTTTGAGCCCAGGAGTTTAAGGCTGCAGTGTGATATGATTAAGACTGTGAATAGCCACTGCAGTCAGTCTGGGCAACATAGCAACACCTTATCTCTAAAAAAAATTTTTTTTAAACCAGGGATATCAGTAGATGATGGCTGTCATCATCATTATTATAATTCTCTACCACATGTCTTGTCAGTGTTCATAGTAGCCTTTTCCTGTGTTAGTTCGTGACTCAGATCTCTGCTAGGTGGCCTCTCCTAACGCTGCCATTTGGGTAATGTCATCAACAAATCCCCGGTCCGAACAGACACTGAAGTGAGCTCGGCCTGTCTCGGGGCTGTCATTATGTCTGCAGCCTCTGATGAACCTCGCTTCTGGCCTGCTGAGGATAAGCCAACGCGCCCACCACCCCCCTCTTTCTTTTGAGGAGTCCTTTTCTCTGCACAGAACTTCTGGTGAAGGTGGTGGGAGTTGTTCTTACAGAGCACATGGGATTCTAGCGGCCTGGCAGTGGGCCAGGATCTTGTTGCCATGGTGACTGACACTGTTTTCACTGAAACATTGCCAGATCCTGAAGATCTTCGTGGACAATCTCTTTGCTATCATCCTGCTGAAGCAGGCCACAGCCGTGCGCTGCTTGGACATGAGTGCCTCCCGTAAGAAGCTGGCCGTGGTAGATGAAAACGACACTTGCCTGGTGTATGACATCGATACCAAGGAGCTGCTTTTTCAGGTGATGTCCCCGAGGGGGCCCAGGGACATCATCCTTTGATTAGAGACCCTCCTCTAGCTTCCCAGCCCCTGCAGGAGGCTCTCCAGCTCTGGCCCTGGCAGGTCTCTGGGAGGAGCAGTGAGGAGCAGGGGCCAAGCACAGGTGCAGAGTCCCAGAGGCCCTGGGCCACAACCTGCTCCTCCCACACAGGCACAAGCTGCAGGGCCTGGACCAGCCTCTTTAACTTTGGTTTCCTTGCCAATGGAAACCAAAGGCTCTGAGCAAGCAGAGCCTTTCTTACGCGTTTACCATGAACAGGAAATGGAGCGATGACTCTGAGGGGAGCATGTTGTCGGCGTTCAGTGAATGGGGCGATGGATGCACTTCCTTTGCAGAAGTCTGCGTCTTACCTGTGCAGGCCTGCCTGTGTCTATGCGCACCTATCGCACGGGAAGGAAACAGGATCAGTTTTGTCATCTGATAGGGGGAAGGGGATGGGCAAGCCTTGCCTTCTGCTTAATTCACAAGAATGCTAGAAGAGCCGGTAGAATGCGAAGTGCTTGGATCTTTGGGGGCCTAGGCATTGTTTAGTGGAGTCATCCAGCCCTGTGGCCTGAGGAAGTGTCACCAGAGAAGATAGCCCAGTAGCTCTGTGCCCAGGGCCTGGCTGCTTTTCGCTGGGCTCGTGCCATTCTTTGTCTCTTTAGGTCTTTGTAGGTGGTCAGGACTGGTTTCCCGGAATGAAGTTCCCCCCAAAGCTGGAGCCCTTCCTGACTGGTTTCCTCGGCCACTGCAGGGTTTCCTCATGTTATGGGCATATTGAGTCCCCTTACCAGGCTCCTCCTTGTTCTCAGCAGCAGAATTGATAGGGGGAGGGTCCTGAAGTGGGGAGCAGCCTCTGTCAGTGAGAAGGGGTTACCTGGCCACCTCTAGCCCAGGGGTGACTCCCTGTCAGTCTCAACTCACTCATGTCCCGAAGAGAGTAGAATGGTTTGGGGGCAAGAGAGGGCACAGCCTTCAGGCTGACCTGGGCTTGGGTCCTGCCTGGATCCCTTACTGTGTGATCTTAAGTTAGTGAGCCTCTCTGAGCCTTGATTACTTTTCTCTAAAATGAAATTAGTAATTGCCCCTCACAGAATTGCTATAGGAATAGGGGATACCACAGTGCCTAGCTCAGTGTTGGGCACAAAATGGGGCCTGAAATGTTACCTCCCTTCTCCCCAGCCTCACCTCCCACCTATAGGGGGCGTAGCTGGCCCCAAATGTGAATCTTGTGTCTGAGCGTAGAACCATACAAGTATGGAAGGGTGTGTGCTCCACTGTCCCCACTGCTGGTTCTGTAGCAGGCTAGGGGAGGTGATTCTCAGCCCTGCCAGGAGACATCAGCAGTCCCAGCTGTGACATTGCCTGCTGGCTTTTCCTCTTCTCCACTGCCCCACCCTCTAAACATAAAACAGCTATATTGATTTTTTTCTCATTATAAAAAACAATCCATGCTCATTATAAAAGATTTAGTCATTATAAAAGATCCTAGGCAGAAGGGTATGAGCATATTTCAGGAGAATAATTTTTTTTTTCAAAAGTAATGCTTGCTTACTCAAAAATTCCAACAACATGCAGGTGCATGGAGGGGCTTGCCTCTGTTCATTTCTTTGTGGTCCCTTTTCCTCCTTTTCCCTTCATCCCACTGTAATTTAGTGGGATTCAGTCTTTAAGAGGGTATTGGGCTGAAATGTGCGAGCACTGCCCAAGCCCAGGGTGGTTCTCACAGGATCCCCACCGTCCCTGTCCCCCAGGAACCAAACGCCAACAGTGTGGCCTGGAACACTCAGTGTGAGGACATGCTCTGCTTCTCGGGAGGAGGCTACCTCAACATCAAAGCCAGCACCTTCCCTGTGCACCGGCAGAAGCTGCAGGGCTTTGTGGTCGGCTACAATGGCTCCAAGATCTTCTGCCTCCATGTCTTCTCCATTTCTGCTGTGGAGGTGCCGCAGGTAACTGGGGGCACCTGTCCACTGTCAGCGCTGGCAAGGCGGACAAGATCAGGGAAGCCAGGCCCCTTGCTGGTGCTTTGGGGAGACAGTAGCAAGGAGAGAAGAATGGCAGCTGTGATGTCATGGGAGGCAGTCTGGGCCTGGAACCTGCTGCCCTGTCTCCACTCCTTGCAACCTGTGTGACTGGGGGCAAACAGATTAACCTCCCTGAGCCTCAGTTTCTTCCTGGTCCCCTTTATGTAGGGATGGGAGGGGTATGCAGTGTTACCAACAGTGTGTGTTTTGCGGAGAGCCCAGCGTGGAGCCAAATGGAGCGAGCAACAAAGCTAGGAGTCTGGCAGGGTGTGTGTGTGTGTGTGTGTGAGTATGTGTGTGATGGTGGTGATGTGTGTGCGAGAGAGATGGGGAGAGAGAGAATGAGTGGGTGGGGGTGTGGGCTGAGGTCTGTGAGCCAATAAGGGAGCATGGGACTCTGCACAAGCCCCCTGAACCAGGAGGAGGCCAGAATAGAAATGGGGCACTGAAGGGAGGAGCCACAGAATGGGGAAGGGCAGAACCACAGACAGACGGCTGAGATTGACCTCCCGAATGCAGGATGGTCTCCCCTCCGCCTTCTGCACCCCACACAGATAGTGCTCAATGTAGGATTGCCATAAAACAGAGACATGCACCAGTGAGAAACTTTAGCCTTCATCATCCCATCCTGAGGACAGAATCACTCTTACACATGTTGAAATACATCTGCTTAGAGCTTTTCTATGTGTATATATAATGTATGCATAATATACAATTAGGAGCATGTGATTTTATAAGAACATTTTTAAACGAAAGTGGAATCACACTGCAAATACTTTTCGTGACTTTTATGTGTATATGTATTGCTACCTATAGATGGAACCTCAGATTTACTGTATTCCCTGAGCCTGGCCTGTAAACAAGACTTCTCATCCCTTCCTTTATGGCCATCTTCTCATTTCACCTCACATTCGGTTATGGCAGCCCTATCACTGTCTACAAAGTGCTGGCTATAAACTAGTCATCTGGCATTTTCACTCAGCAATCTCCTGAAGCATGATTCTGTGTCATTAAATGTTCTTACCCTGCATGGCAAAATTTAGGGTAATTGTAGACTCACGTAAGTTGTAGGAAATAATACAGAGATCCCTTATACCCTTTGCACAGTTCCTCCCAATGGTAACAGTGTGCAAAGCTCTAGGGTGATCTTCCCACCCATGTTGGCATGTGTAACCTCCCACCACAGTCATGGCACTGAACACTGCCACCATCACAAGGTGCCTGGTGTTGTGCTTTTTACAGCCAGCACCCCTCCCTCCTGCCTAGGCCCCACCTGCCTTGTATTTATAGCTGCATTTTATCGTGTCTTGTGGATGTTCCATAGCTTTTTTTTTTTTACCAGTCGTACTGCACGTTTGCTGCTTACAGCTTTTTTGTATTATAAATAGCAGGCATCTTTCTAGCTAAGTCCTTGCATCTGTCCCAACTTGGCGCCTTGGCGTGAATTCCTAGAAATGAAATTTCTGGGTTCAAGCATGTGTACCTTTGAAAGACTTTTAGGGAAATTTCCAGGTTTCCCTTCCGCTAGGCTCTGTCAGTCTGTGTTTTCCCCACACAACTCTGCTTCAGGCTAGAGCCCACTTCTTCTAAGCTGATGATCCCCTCAAAACTCATGACTGCAAGACTTACTGGGGAAATGCCCATCATCCAGGCCTGACACAGAGCAGCTATTCAAGAAATGTTAGTGGAATTCAGATCTGAAGAAAAAGACGAGAAAACAAGAGGAAGAAGGGAACGAGGTGGGTGGAAGTGGCAGCAGGACGAGGGGCACAAACAGTTTCTCCTGGACTGTGTCCTCGTCATCCTTGTCTGCCCCATTACAAATCTATGTACCACATCCACCAGGAACTTGCTCTCCCTCAATTGCACCAAACCAACTCTGCTTATTAAAAGTTTTCTCCCAAGATTGGCATCCTGACCTCAAAAATAAATGCAGTTTGCTGCTCCCTGACTGTGGCTGGCCAAGAGGAGCCAGAGGGGCGGCCTGGGGCTTCCTCTGCCAGGACTTTAAGATTCAGCAGCAAAGTCTTGCTGACTGCACCAAGGCCATCCTGCTGATGCAGCAGGTCAGGACTGCCAAGGGTTAGGAAACACATTCTCAAGACAGAGGCTGTTCATCTGTCGCCTCTGCCTCCAGCCATCCTGTGGTTTTGGCCCAGAGAGGAGGGAGAAAGCATCAGACCCAGTCTTGGAATTTTTGGTTTCCTTTCGAAATTTACATTGTCTTGTGTAAGAACTGGTTTGTCAGGGCTGCCAAGTAGGACAACGAGCCCTAGGAGGGCTTCTCAAGGCGGTGGTGACTTCATGTTTGGAATGCAACAGCAAGATAAAGTATAGCTCAGAGAGTATTTGTTCAGTGAGTCTATTTTTAAAACTCCACTCAAATTATGCCTCCCAAGTAAGTCCAAGTGTTAGCCATCCATCATATGCTCAGCAGTGATATGCCTGTCTGAGTGCCTGTCCCACTCACAGGGCAGTCAGTGTGGCAAGCAGTTGGTTGCGGTTCGGGGAAGGAGCACCGGCTTTCAGTCCTGACTCTGCCATCTCAAGCAGCTGTAACTAGAGCAACTCATTTCACTCTTTGGGGCCTCATTTTATTTTCTGTGAAATGGGGTTAATTACACCCATCTTTCAGGTTTTGTCAAGCCAAATTTCTATTATTATTTCACCTTATTACTGACTCATAAAATAGTAAAAACCACAAAACACAACTAAATTGCAACAGGCTGTGCTTATTAACGGACTTTAGAAAGGAAAGCTCGTTGTGTGCTTTAAGAAAAGCTTTCAGGAGTTTGAGAAAGCTTCCAGGAGATGGCGAAACTTGATCTGAACCCTGAGAGGTCTGGAAAGGAAGACTGGAGCAGGGAAGCTTTTCAAACAAAGGAAAAGGTGGGGGTAGAACAAGAATGGAGAGCCTAGGAGATGGTGAGGAGCTAATGCTGAGAAAATATAGTGAAGGTAATGATCATGTCTGCGTTTTGCCCAGTGCTTCATCATTTTTGGAGCACAGCTCTCCTTTGCCCATAGTAGCCTGAGCTGGGCAGGACATCTAAACAGAAGTTAATGGATTTACCCAAAAAGTCACCACCCTAGGATGTGGCTGAGTCTGGCCTGGGTTCTAGGTCACCTGCTCCCTAGCCTATGCCTGCTGCCCCCCTAAAGGGAACATTTAATGTGTCAATGAGGAGAGATGGCATAGTGGAAAAGATAAGCACTTGGAAGCAGCCATGTTTTGCTCTGAGAGTAGACAGACTCAAAAAAAAATTTTTTTTTTCTTCAATTATAAAGCTAAAAAATGGGACCAGAAATTTCAAAGACAAAAGCCCCAAGTGGAGAAAACAATACTTCAAGCTCCACATTTGGGAACCATTAGCACAGAGGTCCTGACTGATTTCTCTTCCCTGCCCAGTTAGCCAGGAGAGATGCAGGCCTCTGAAGCACACTGGCTGGCCTAAAACAAGGGCAAGGCCTTTCTTGTTAAAGACGTCCTGGCCCAACTCAGACTCATTCTCAGGCCTGCACACAAATATGCACATGTACACACGTGCATACATGTGGCAGGAAGGGGCACAGAACCTGGAGTCCAGTCACCTCTGGCTATTGCCAGCTATTTGCTGGAACAGGTCATTTGTCCTCTCTGAGTCTCGGTCTCCTGGGCTGTAGCCAGGGAGAAATAATACCTACTGCACAGGCCTATGGGGACAGCCAAAAGCCCTTTATAAACCTAAGAAAGAGAAGTCGTTAGGAACTATTCATGGGCAACTCCATCTTGTACGAGGGCGTTGGTCCCAGTGCAGGGAGCAGGAGACTTATTTCCAGAGGCTTCCAGGGTAACTTGGAGCAAATCACTTACCTTTCTTGGACACAGTCCCTGGAAGAAGAGGCCATCCCAGACCCCTTCCTCCCAGGAACTCATTCATTCTGTCAGCAAACATAGACTAGGGGTCTGCTGAGGGAAGCCGGTACAACCCACCGCTGCCCATGTGCTGTGCATGGCCTTGCTGTGGGAACAGGCCTGTAACTGCATCACAACCCGAGATCTGGACAAAGGGCAGAGGAAGCTGAGACTCCTTCATCTGAGGTGGGGGCTTGAGGGGCTTGGGAGGACTCTTGAGAAGAGGTGACATTTCAATAGGGCCTTGAAAGCCAAATAGGTATTTTCCAGAGGGAGAGTGGGGAGGGGCAAAGGCATTCCAGGCGAGGATGACATCCTATGGTGAGGCAGGCCCACAGGTGGGAAGGAGGGGAGGATGGGCAGAGAGTTTGTGCTGTGGAGCACAGTGGCCCAGCCATGAGAGGGGTGCAGAATGGAGCACGCAGAATGGAGCACACAGAGTGGACTGGGCAGGCTGGGCAGGGTGCTGATTGACGGCTGCAGGGCTGCTCCCCAGGCGTGGGTAATTGTCCCACGCATCTGGAGGCAGGCTCTGTATGAATCTGGCTCTTTCCATGGCTCTGAAAACAGTCTTCTTTTTTACCCCTGATGAAATCCTGCAGTCTGCTCCCATGTACCAGTACCTGGATAGGAAACTGTTCAAGGAAGCCTACCAGATTGCGTGCTTGGGTGTCACCGACACTGATTGGCGTGAACTGGCCATGGAAGCTCTAGAAGGTTTAGATTTTGAAACAGCAAAGAAGGTAAGCATCTAGCCAGCAGAAGCTGGAGTTTGGTCCTTGTGGGGTCCCTTAAGAAGGCAGATGGGGACCCAGCTGGCACGGAAAGGCCACAGACTGCAGCAGCCTCTGGAGTTAGGCTGACCTGGGCTTAGATCTAAGCTCAGCCACTTCCTCACTGTGGGCCTGGGTAGGTGACACCCTTTCTGAGATTGCTTCTCTATAGATGTAGGGTGATGACAGGCCCCATCCTTACAAAGCTTTGAGGATCGAATGGGAAGGTTCCTGTAAAGCCTGATCCAGGAGCAGCATCTCAGATTCTGGCTGTCACTCTTACTAGCCGTCATCTATGGGAAGCACCTGGTAGTAGCCTGGCACATCATAGGCATTCTGTAAATGGCGGCTTTTATTATCGGTGTAATCACTGGCCATGATGCTGCACACAATGCTGCTTTTCTTAGCATCTGCCAACTAAGGTCAAGGTCTCTGATTGTGACAGCAATGTAGACACTTCCCACATACCTTCATGGCGGGATTCATGGACTTGATTCATTGTGTCCTTTCCTGGCCTAGTCTATGAAAGCTGGAGAGATGGCTGAAAACATCTGACCTCTTTCTGCACATAAGGAAAGGCCCGGGTATGTTCCTGAGCTGTGTTTCCATCTAGAACCTGAGACGGAGGAAGGAATGGCTTCCAAACCCCTCTCCCCTACCCCTTCCCTCTTTATCTCCCCACAGCCAATTAATGAGCTGCTCATTTTGTCCATACTCCTGGGCTGATACTGAAGGAGTGGCAAAGAGGGATGTGATGCCCACCTTGGGTTAGGTCAAGACTTGTAGGCATGAAGAGAGAGGAGACTGGACCAGACCGGGACTAAGAAGCCTGGCTGAGAACCAGCTGTGCCACGTAAGGGGCTCTGGGACCTCAGGCCAGCCGCTTCCCTCAGATCCCCAGTCCTTCCAGTTCTGAAATGGGGGTTGTGAGAATGCCCGCTGCAGTCATGAGGCTTAACTGAGATGTTGTAAAGGGGAATTTAAATCAGGGATGGTTGTACAGATGCTAGCCATTACTAAACAAGGGAAGTGATCATTGTGTAACAATGATCTAGATTATATTTTTAGATGTCCTCAGTGTAGGAAAGTGGAGATGGAGGAGGCTATAAGAATTCAGAGGAGGGGCTGGGCACAGTGGCTCACGCCTGTAATCCCAGCACGTTGGGAGGCCGAGACATGCGGATCACAAGGTCAGGAGATCGAGACCATCCTGGCTAACACGGTGAAACCCCGTCTCTACTAAAAAATACAAAAAAATTAGCCGGACGTGGTGGCGGGCGCCTGTAGTCGCAGCTACTCCGGAGGCTGAGGCAGGAGAATGGCGTGAACCCGGGAGGCAGAGCTTGCAGTGAGCCGAGATCGCGCCCCTGCACTCCAGCCTGGGCAACAGAGCAAGACTCCGTCTCAAAAAAAAAAAAGAATTCAGAGGAGGAAGGAGGCATCTCCATGGAGGGGAACTTCCCTCTACTGCCCCACCCAGAAATGCCAACAGGGAGGAAGACGACAAATCCCTCGAACAGAAAGGATTGTAAAAAGCCACAAGGTTTTATATGAGTGTTTATTGATTCGTATATATGTATTTGTTTAAATATTGAGATGGGGACTCACTATGTTGCCCAGGTGGGTCTTGAACTCCTGGGGTCAAGCAGTCTTCTTGCCTCAGCCTCCCAAAGTGTGGGATTCACAGGTATAAGCCACCACACCTGGCCAAATTTATTATAGTTGAAAAGTAAGTGTATATGATATATATCTATTGTATACAAGATGCTGTTTTGAAAAAGCCACATGATATTGAAGATAGGCTAGAAGTTAATATTTCATCCGAATCCCGAGTCCCCCGCCTCCTTCCTCTGTGCCAGGCACTCAGGCTCACCAGTTTGGATAGGGTGGTTCCTAGAGATGGACTGCCATCCCCACTAGATGGCAGAGAAGAGCTGCTGAGCTCCCGCCAGACCCTGAGCAGAGCTGCAGGTGCCTCCCTGTTCCCAGGGTTCCCTCTGCTGAGCTCATTCAGGGGCCTTGTGACTCTGACCAGGCGCCCTGACGCTGCAAAATGTATCAGGTTGAAGGAATTCGGAAACAGACTTCTTAGTAGGCAAATCCTAGACTCCAGCACAGCTGAGCTACAGCTAGAAAGACCCTTGAGAGGGTGTCACTAGCAGGCCCCTTTCCACAAAGAAGATGGTTGGAGCCTAGAAGCATAGAAGTAGGCTCAGAGCGAGGACTCGGACCTCGAATGCTCCTTTCACTCTCGGCCACCGTGCCACACTTTGCAGGGTTGCCCTCTCAAGGCGCTTTAAGGAAACCCAGATCTAGAGGGTAGAGTGTAAGACTTACAGCTTGGGACCCAGGTAGTCTTAACCCTGTGTTCCTTGGCCCATGCGATGCCCACATTGCCCTATTCTACGAATTCCTCTCCACAAACACTTATTTGCCATGTTCTGACTCTGATGCCTCACTTAACGCTGCCTCCCGCCCCTGCTCATGCTCAGACCATTCATCTGTGTTCTCCAGGCATCTGGTTCATAGTCGGAGAGCTCTTAGCTCTAGATGTCATGATCTGTTTAATTGGCCAGCCTCCCCGGTTAGAATGTGGGCCTCTGAATTGTGGAGGGGGACAGGGGCCGGGACATGTTTCTCCCTGGGTCCCCAGTCTCTGACAGGAAGCCTGGCCCTGTGGGATGAAAAGATGAAGTTGCGTCGTGGTCACCTGCAAGGCAGCCAGAGGCCGGGGACTCGCTCATCTCCCGAGGTCTTTTCAGGAGGGAGGATGCTGTGCTGCTGAGTGGAGGCTGCAAGTGGTCAGGATTGCTCTGCATGTTTGGTTCAAAGGGCTCCGGAGCTGCTGCCTCCTCTAGGCACAGGTCAGCCCATTTTGAATGGGGCAATGTAAGCAAGCACAGCTGGTGGAAATGGTGACAGCAAAGCCACCTGAAAGCAGCCTGACCTGGTGGCTCATGCTCCTCCAAATCCTGGGCAGAATCTGAAAGCAGCAAAACTGGCTTAGCCAACACCAGTCTGCTTGTTCCTCAGAAACTTCTAGAGGTCCATGAGTTAAAGTCTCTGGCAAGGGCTGCAATTTTAGGATTTACATAAGAGTTTGCCTTCCATGGACTTGGTGGGATTCATTCCCTGCCCCTCCACCTTCTTCCAGAATCTGTCTTTATGCCCTCTCAGCTTTCCCCTCCTCCGTTCCCTCTGCAGTACCAGGGCCTCTGGGTCCCCTGTGTCTGTGGCAACACTGGGTAGGCATAGCTGTCCCGTGCATTCTACCCACGTCACCAAGATGTGCAAGGCAGTCTCTCGTCAGTCCATGCATCTCACCTTCTCCTGCTGTGATGCTGCCTGCCCCACCAGAGGGTCAGACCGGCTTGTTCTTCTTTTTTTTTTTTTGAGATGGAGTCGCCCAGGCTGGAGTGCAGTGGCATAATCTCAGCTCACTGCAACCTTCACCTCCCGGGTTCAAGTGATTCTCCTGCCTCAGCCTCCCAAGTAGCTGGGACTATAGGTGCCTGCCACCACACCCAGCTAATTTTTTGTATTTTTAGTAGAAATGGGGTTTCACCATGTTGGCCAGGATGGTCTCGATCTCTTGACCTCATGATCCACCTGCCTCGGCCTCCCAAAGTGCTGGGATTACAGGCGTGAGCCACCACGCCCGGCTGGCTTGTTCTTCTTTGGGTCGAGAGTCTCCCAAGGAGGCACCACCACAGACTGTGGCATCACGGTTTTGTTTTACCTGATCCCAAAATGATTGATGCAACTGGAACGTCTTTGCTGTTCTTTACATGTCCAATCCCACGGATAAAACCATACCTCACTGAGTGGTATAACCTCCTACACACACGACGATTAATCCATGCTTGCTCCCTTCCTCTCCTTACTGGCTCACTGTCTAGATAGAGCTTGACTTCCCACCCCCAGCCAGTCACCCACTTTGGAAGCCAAGAAGACCGCTTATTTTATTCTTTATTTCTTCCCCACAGGCCTTCATCAGAGTACAAGACCTCCGATATTTAGAGCTCATCAGCAGCATTGAGGTAAAAGATGAAACATTCTTCTTCCTTCTCAAGAAGGCATACTTGGGGTTCCTGTTTTAGAGGCAGCCCTTCTGGCAGGCAAGAGCCTTGAGGACATGGGAGCAGAGCTCACTGGCGTCTGGGCATCTGGGCCACAGCCTTGCTCTGGGGGCAGAGTGGCCACATGGGGAGACAGCGGCAGGCAGTGTGAGCTATCGTGTGATAGCTGGGTGAAGCTCTCCCAATCTCCGTGGGGAGCATGGCCCGTGGTCTGAATTGAACGCCCCAGAGTTCTGGAGTAACCCCCAGCCCTACTGTTTCTGGCTGAGAATATTGACCTTGTCATCCAAACCCAATAGGCCTGCAGTGTGCTAAGGAAGCTGGTTGTAGGTACGCCATTTGCTGGGTGGTGGTCAACACTATGCCTTTTTTTTTTTTTTTTTTCTGAAACAAAGTCTCACTCTGTTCCCCAGGCTCGAGTGCAGTGGCACGATCACGGCTTACTGCAGCATTGACCTACCAGGCTGAAACGATCTTCCTACCTAGCCTCCCAAGTAGCTGGGACCACATGCATGTGCCACTCTGCCTGATTAATTTTTTTGTATATTTTGTAGAGCAGAGTTTTCCCATGTTGCCCAGGCTGGTTTCAAATTCTTGGGCTCAAGCTATTAGCCCACCTTAGCCTTCCAAAGTGCTGGCATTACAGACTTGAGCTACCAGGCCCGGCCCTTAGACACTATTCTTAATTTCTGTGTATCTCAGTGCTGTCTGGCTGTCTGTTAAAAGGCATATACATTTTTTCTCCTGAACAGATTTATTGTGAGGGTATGGGAATGTGAGACACATTTGAATTCCCAGTTGGAAACAGTGAGGAAATCAGCAAATGTCTTGTCCCTCTCATTCATTTCCATGTAATAAACACCTGTCGTGGGCCAACCCTTGTGCCGAGTTCAGTGGGCACAGAGCTGAGGAAGAGAGAGGCCGACAGGAGCTCACAGCCTGCTAAACCTCATAACATAAGCTGCTCTGTGCCCTATGTGTGATTTATGTGAGTGCTCTTCTAGATCCTCACATCAACTGAATGAGGCAGGTATTGTTGCTCTCCCTATTCCATGTGGGAGAAAATTAAGGCTCAGTGAGACAATGCCACGTCCCCACAGGTCCATAGCCAAAAACTTGGTGGAATTCAAGCCCAGTCTATTTCCTAAGCTCATGCTCTCTTGGCCACATACCCTCCCTACCCGCGTGTCGTAAAGGGCATCTGTATGTTCTGGGGTTTACCTACCACATGGTAAAGGGCTTGTTCGGAGCTATTGCCCAAAATGCCCAGTGCTGCTGACTCTCACTGTCAGTGGATTTACAAAATCCACTGGCCTGGATCTGGGGGTCTTCACCGGAAGTCAAGGAGCATAATTTTCCTCTCCACAAAAGTAACTGATTGCTGTGGGGTCCAACTATTATTTGTCACATTTTACTGGGATCAAAATATAGTCCTCTCCTCATGTGCTATGAGCTGGGAAGTGCTTTAAAGTAAACTAAGATTGTCTCCTGAAAAAAAGTAAAGTGCCTTTGAGTGTGTTCTATGTTGACTGCCCGCAGACTTGGTTGCACACATCTCGGTGCTCAGCATAATTCCAGAGAACTGCGGATCCTCAGTGGGTGCCTTTTGGATAGGGGAGATGTTCTTGTCCTGCTGACGGCGGGGAAGAACCTACCCATGTTGACATGCACCTGCTGAGTGCCATAGATCGTTATTATTGGTCATGGTGATGTCCTGGGGCCTAGAATGGATATGGCCTGAATTTCATGTCTAGTAAAACCTTTTTTTTTTTTTTTTTTTTTTTTTGCAGAGATAGGGTCTGGCTATATTGACCAGGCTGGCCTACAACTCCTGGGCTCAAGTGATCCTCCTCCTTTGGCCTCCCAAAATGTAGGGATCACAGGTGTGAGCCACCATGTCCAGCCAAAATCAATCTTTTATCTCACTGCAAGATTTTAATTCCTTTCCAACTATTAGGAGTTAGTCTGTTTGATGAGCCTGAGCTGTGCGCAGGTTTTTAGAATGATGATTTCTGTCAGTGTGGAAGCACGTTGCCTCCAGCTGTTAAAACTTTCACCAGCTTGTCTAAGAGTTTGATTCAATGTCTCATCATCCTCTGTATGCTACTCTTGCTAGAAAACAAGCAAAAGGAAACTGCTAGGGCTCAGGGTTTGAGTGCTACTGAGTGTTTACAAATACTTGAGCTGTAGACAAGTGAATGTTCCCTGACACAGAAGGAAGAAGCTTTATCCTCAGCTGTGCTAAGTGTGTGTGTGTGTGTGTGTGTGTGTGTGTTTGTGTGTGTGTGTGTGTGTGTGTGTGTGTGTGTGTGTGTTGTTGGGGACATCACTTGCTTCAGAAGACAGTGTTACGTGATACAAGGAATATCTGGAGTCAGACAGAACTGCATCCAAATTCCAGCTCTGTCTGACCCTGACCTGTTCCTCTTCTTGAGTCTCAGCATCCTTCACTCTAATACTTGGGTAGTGAGACCTACCCTGAGGGTCACTGAGAGGAATAAAGGGGCCATGTGTGTATAAGTATATACCCAGAACCTAGTGGATGTTCAGCATGCGGGATTTCGTACTTTCTCTTTAAAAGTAGGGACATAGTGAGACTTGTCATCCTATTTTATTGGTCTCCCTCTTGGGCAGAAACCCTAAACATTCTCCTGCTCTGTCATCCCCATGAGCCACAACTCTGCCAAACAGGGCTTGCAGATTTGGGAGATCTCTGGAGCTTAGGGGTCATGGATGAGTCAGAGCACACACTATTCAAACTATTCTGTCATAGCCTTGGAATACACAGGAAAGCAACCCTGAGGAATTTCCATTAAACAAACAAAGGTTTGCATCTTTTTTTGATCTTTGCTTGTCTGGTAAAAACCTGCTTTTGTTGTCAAGTGTTCCCAGCGGGAACCTGGGGGAGAGAGACAACAGCCAGGAGCCAAGCCCAGATTCCAGTAGGAAGGTCCAGGGGCCTCACTTGAAATAGCCACATCTAACCTTTGTAAAGGCTGCTTCCTGCCCATGGCTGCAGAGGCCATTTCCTGTGCTTCTAATTTTTCCAGGAGAGGAAGAAGCGGGGAGAGACCAACAATGACCTGTTTCTCGCAGATGTGTTTTCCTACCAGGGGAAGTTCCATGAGGCCGCCAAACTGTACAAGAGGAGCGGGCACGAGAACCTCGCGCTTGAAATGTATACTGACCTCTGCATGTTTGAGTATGCCAAGGTAACCCACCCTGTCCCAGGCCCAAGCTCCAGCTTGGAGCCCACTGGTATTCTCACCTGCGGTGTCCAAGTTATTTTCCCCAAGAGTGGTGTAGACAAAAACTAGCAATGGTCTCAGAAAGGATGTGTGGAAACTGGTAAACAAATGACCCATCTACAGCCACGGGTTGAAACTCACCTAAAACTGACATTTAACGCTGACACCAATGGGGCAGACTATGGCAGTTCAGACCTTCATCAGCGCCAGAACTGGATGGCTGTGGGTCTGCGCCAGCACAATCCCTTCATTGATTTGAGGGCTCAGTGCTTCAGGGCTGTCTCCCACAAATCCTCTCAATCCTTATCAGGAGCTGCCAAGAATCGGTGTCTTCAGGCGGGAGCCGGTCCTGCCAGTCATACAGGATAATGTGGTGCCTGCCAGCCAAGTTTCCCATAGCACCTGCTGATTGTCCTGGGCTTCTCACTAGGCCTCTGGGAAGTCAGGCAGAGCCTCCGCCCTCCTGTGTTAGCGCAGCATGCCTCACACCTACCGGCTGCAGAGTGGCTACCATGTGGTTGCAGTGGGTGATAACAGAGATTCTCTTTTGCATTGGGATGGCCCTTATGAACCTTAGTCCCCAGCAGAGCTGGGCCTTTTAAGGCAGGTATAGGAGAGGAGCTTCCTGGACCTGGCTCTTGATGGCTTCTGTGGGAAGGAGTTGCACTAAGGAGCCCAGACCAGCCAAGACATTGGCAGTTCAGTCTAAGCAAAGTTCAAAGAGGCTTGGGTGCATTGAGCAACTACAGTCTTCCTTCTACAGAGGGGCTTTGTTAACCTGCCTTTTCCGGGAGTGTCAAAAGTGGCTCTCAGTGTGTTATGAAGTGACTCATCAGCCACAACCTATTAGTGGGCTACTAATGGTAATTCTCCAGCTCACAAGTTCAAGATGGAAAATCTTCCCCACATTTTTCTGCTTTTATATTCCTGAAGATGGCTGTGCTGTTCCACCACCTGTTCGACCCTGGGGCTGAAGGTGTGTTTGGTGGCCTGTGATGTTGCCCAGGACCTTTTCATCAGTACGTGGATGAGCTTCTGGGCCCCAGCCTGTCTTTTCACCTTAGTGATTTATTCACTCCGTACTTGAGACCCAGAGTGTACAGGCTCCCTCTGCCTTTTCCTCGTCACCTTCTCTACCCTTCCCCAGGCCCCACCACAGACACCTAGAAGATTTCATAACACATTCATACTGAGATCACCAGAGTCAGTGCATCTCTGCTTCTGGGGATAACAAAATTTTAACTCAGGATGAACCCTTCAGGGATCAAGACCCTAGAGGTAGAATTTAGGCTTAGGAACCCCTGAAGCCTCCTCAAGGAGGCAGCTGTGCTGCAGTAGAAAATGCCTGGTCAGACTGGGCGTGGTAGCTCAAGCCTGTAATACTAGCACTTTGGGAGGCTGAAGTGGGTGGATTGCTTGAGCTCAGGAGGTCAAGACCAGCCTGGGCAAAATGGTGAAACCCTGTCTCTACCAAAAGTGCAAAAAATTAGCCAGTGCCTGCAGTCCCAGCTACTGGGAGGCTAAGGTGGAAAGATTGTTTGAGCTCCAGAGGTAGAAGTTGCAGTGAGCCAAGATCACACCACTGCACTCCAGCCTGCGTAACAGAGCAAGACCCATGTCAAAAATAAATAAATAAGAAAATGCCTGGCCTTGGTGCCCCAGAGCTGGTGTGAGTGCGGGTTCTTTCTGTGGGATGACCTAGGGAAAGGCTCTTCAGTTTGCCAAGCCTCCCTTCCCTTCTCAGATGGTAATAGCCACAGCTCAGTTTAGTCTTGAGATTTGCACAGAATAATGTATAGGAAAGCCCGTTAGAAATGCCAAGCTGTAGAAAGATTAGGAAGATGAGAGGGCCACACGTGACCACAGAGTGGATCTTCACACCTCTCTCCCTGGCTGGCCTCACTCCTGCCCCTGCTCTGAGGCCCCTCCTTACACTCTGGTGGACTTCATGTGCCCACAGCCTCCCACCAGAACTGCAGCCCATTTACACACTCCATCTGCTCCGTCTCTCTATGAAGGTAAATACTCTGGGACTTGTTTTTGGTTTTAGTTTTTGATCACTATTCCAAGGAAGTTGGTTCCATTTCAATCCGCCCTGCCCCCACTTGGTAGTCTGAATTTGAGAAATGTGTACATACACATTATGTGGGGGGTGGGGGAGATCTAGTACTGATTAACATGGCATGTTTTTGTTTACTTGAAAATTGCTTCCCAAGATTCAATCTGGTTTTCAGAAAATTTTTAAATTACATTCCCACGTACAAATAAATTGTATGCTTTCTGGATAAGTGACATGTTTATATGGTGATAAAGGGAATTATAATGCTCTTAACTCTTATGTAGTATGTTCTTATCAAAATCACCAAGCATGAGAACACTGTTTAGTCTCATTCATCACTCAGCACAGCCTCTTTCTGTCCACTTCAGGGCCAAGTCTTTGCCATGGCCCCAGATAACGTGTAACTTAGCTTCAGGAAAGCAAAAAGCCTTTGAATTCCCAGTTTGCTGAGCCTTGAAGGAAGCTTTTAGACCCAGCTTCAGTGAAGTCACAGCTCCCTGAGTGGCCAGCTGGCCTAGGCTTATGGCTTCCTCTCAGCCTCTCACCCTTGCTGCAGTCACCCCTAGTCCCCTGAGCACTCACTGAAGTCCCTTTGAAGATGCCTGTTTCCCCCAGCTGCCACCCTCATTTCACCAGCCAGGTAGGCAGGGTTTCCAGCTTCGTGCTAGCGTACAGAATCCGCGCCATAGCAGCTGCCAAAAGGAGAGGTGTGTCTATAAAGGCCCAAACTAGGCGGGGACAGTGGCTGCTTTCCAAGCCCCTTCCCTTTGTCAGCTCCTGGGAAAACCAAAGGCCAGCCAGGAGGTCTGTCTTCTATTGGATCCCAGCATCAGGGTATACAATGCTCTTTCCTCCCCTTCTTAAAATGTATCATATATTAGGCCGACCTAATACCCTGAAAGCACAATTACCCTGAAAGCAAATGAAAAAAAGCGAGCTAATTGTTCAAGTGGATTTTTAGCATACATTGACTGCACTTTCCTGACACATGAGCGTTAATCATGGGGAAAGGAGTGCTTTTTTTGTTCTCAGTGAGGCTGACACAAAGCACTCTCTGCAGGGTACATTATTCCTAAGACAAACCACTTCTTACCAGTAACATAGACCTGGGCTCTAAGGGCTCCCAGTTTCCCTTTTTGAAAAGCTCCACCTTTAAAAGCTGCCTCGACTCTGGCAAACTCCCACATGTATATTTTGGGTAACTACCGTGAAAAGAGGTGATGTTCTGAGGCTGTTTTTCACACATTCTATGGCCAGCCCAGAGAAGCTGGGCATACCGCTTCAGAGGGCCGCTGCTGAGGCCAAAGGAACACAGGCTCTAGGCCTGACCCCTGAGCCTCCAGGACCACAGTCGTCTCTTCCTTCTCAGGTCCTCTCCTGAGCACCTTCCCTGCCTCAGATCCCCCCATGGTCTCCTGCTGTCCCACTGTCGGATCAGGTCCTCACCGCTGCAGACCTGACCTCAGGACAGGATCCCTAACCATTCAGCTGAGAAGCAGCTAACCAGAGAGAGGTTTGCTTATTATCTGTCCCAGGCAAGTAACTGGGGCAAAGACCATGCAATGATTCCCTAGTTCGGGGCACAGAGTGTTTGCTGGTGATTCAGAGAGGGCATGGAGGGCCGGCAAACTGTAAGTCATTTTGTTTGTGTAAGTTTAGGGGAACCCATGCTCAGCCCACTCTGAAGCATGTGGTGTCACCCATACGATCTGAATAAAGATGACAGGTCTCGATATTTGGAATTGTGCACCAGGTTGTCTCATTGCTGTTTAGGAATAATCATGTATTTACCAAACTATGTGAGAGAGAGACAGCCTGATCATGAACCCCCGAGCCTGCAGACTTCATGTGCAGGGCCCCAAATAGTCTAGAAAGTGTTGTTTAGCCGATGAACAAATGCCCATTTGTGAGATGGGAAGGAAGCACTGGGGCCAGTGTCCTTGACGCTGTCCCAGGATCCCCCAGGAACACCTGCAGGGCAGCCTGAGATCACCTTTCCCGAGACCTGGGACTCCCCCTACTCAGCCCCTCAGGGACGGCCCCTGCCTGCCTCCTGGTTGCCTGCTTCAGCCATGTGGAGCCTGCCCTTGCTGCTAGAAAAGCCTGATGTAACGCTGGCACAGGAAGTTCTGATCCAGAGTGTTTTTGTTTGTTGTGCTTCCTCAGGATTTCCTTGGATCTGGAGACCCCAAAGAAACAAAGATGCTAATCACCAAACAGGCTGACTGGGCCAGAAATATCAAGGAGCCCAAAGCCGCCGTGGAGATGTACATCTCAGCAGGAGAGCACGTCAAGGCCATCGAGATCTGTGGTGACCATGGCTGGGTTGACATGTAGGTTTTGGTCCCTGCCCCGAGAAGCATTTGGCAGCATGTCATCACATGTCACCTCTTGACTGTCAAGGGAACAAATAGTGCTTCTCTAATTATCTAAAGCTAATATGATAGTGGCTAGCTTCTTCAGGAGACACAGAGATTGCACAAGGCAGTAGCTGCCTTCCAGGAGCTTGTGGAGTCACTAGGGGAAGGGATGGTGGGGACCAGGGAAGAGGAGACACCAGGACATCACAGCTGCCATTTGCTGAATGCTCACTACAACCCAGACACTGTGCTAATCTTCCAGGCATTAGGTTTTCCACCCATGCCATCAGGGCTGGTGTCTCCTCACCCACTTTGCAGATGATGAAACAGAAGCTAAAGGGACAAGTTATTCCCAAAGTCCAGATAGCTGGAAAGTTGTAGAGCTGAGCTTTAGCCTCTAATCTGGCCGATGTCAATTCCAACTACATGTGTAATGGTAGGAACAAAAACAAAACAAGTTCCAGGGAAGAATTCTTATGGGAGGAACCATGGATGTCTTCTCTTAGGAGACACTCTTTGCATGAGGGGACCTTGAAGAATTCCCAGAGGTAAATAGAGATGGGGGGAAAGGAAATGCAGGCAGGAAGTACAGCAGGAACACAGCGAGTCGGCTCTGGTTGGAGTAAAAGACGTGTGGGAATGGGAGGGTGAAGGACGTGGGCTGTGGGTTGGGGGAAGTGGGCTGGCCACACTGGAAGGGCCCCTGATGCCAAACGGAGGTGCTTAGATTTGCCGATAGCGAGTGACCACCTACGGTCAGGGTTGTACAGTCAGACATCCCCTCAGGCAGGCAGGTAGAATGGAGACCAGATAACTGGCTAGTGCAGTAGAGCAGGAGGGAACTTGGTAGCTGAGGGCATGAAAGAGAAGTAGCAGAGTTAGAACCAAGTGACCCATCCCAGGGTGGTGGGGCAGGGGTGAGTGTCAGGCTAGCTTTGCTCTGTGGCTGCTGGTGGGTTACACCATTCGTCAAGGTGGACAACAGGGAGAGGAGGAGGTTGGGGTGGGGCAGCACTGAGACAGGATGGATTCAGCCTTGGGACTCAGTGCACTAGACCTTCAGGGGGAAGGCTTTGTCTTTCCAGTCAGTGAGCTTCAGGCTCACACACGTGCACACACACATGCACGTGCTGCTGTGGCAGGCAGAGGACATGATGGGACAAGCTCCTGAGGGTGGCTTAGGCTGGTTCCTAAAGGCTGTTGATTCTTCAGGAAACAACACTGTGGTCTACAGGTAGCAGTGGCCCAGCCAGGATTTGGGGATACGGAGGAGGCTGGTTAATGATTAAATTATTTCCTTGAGTGCTGCCATATATTAATAATTGGTGTGTTGGCCCCTTACAAAGGGACCTTGGTGGATGTCCTACCACCCCATTTTCTTGTCCAATAGTAATTTTTTTAAGACAGAGGCACAGATTTTGTTCCCCACATTTTTCTTTAAGTGAAGGGGTTCATATAGAAGAGGGCCAGGCAGATTTAGGGTCCCCTGTTCTCTCGTCTGGCTTTTCATGTCACTTTCATTTGTAAGTGCTATGTGTCAGGTTACTCTGAGGGTACTTGAGTAATTCAAGAAACACATTAAGCATGTTCTGTTCGCTTTCCAGATGCGGCTATAAAAGGTGCCTTTCCTCTAGGGACATTGGGTGTGATGGGTGGGAAGGTTTCTAAGGCTTTAAGGTCTTTCTATGCCACCTTTCCCTAAAAATGTGTCCTTTTTCTGCTGAGCAGTGTTATTTTTAGATGCCATTATTATTCTAAGTGTAGACTGACAGGCCTCCGTGCCTTGCCTGTCTCTGAGACAGGGATTCATTACAGCTGCTTCTCTTTCCTTTCTCACCAAGACTAGCCTGGGTAGAACCCTTTCTCCTGGGAGAGTTAGTTTGACTCCAAATTCCAGCCTGACCAGAGAGAACAAGCACATTCTATCCAGGCGTCATGTCCCCATGAGCAATGGGAGGGCCGCTCACCACGGGGAAGCAGTGGTGAGCCAGTGGGTCCCTGCGGCTCCTCCCTTTGGTCAGCTCCTTGGCCAGGAGGACAGGGAAGACTTCCTGCAGGCCTTTGTCCAGAGCTCCGAGCAGACCCCATACTCACCTCTTCCTTTAGAGGGCAGTCAATGAGGTATTCTTATGCCTTGGCCTCCACTTTTCTGTGAGAATTCCTGCACCTGTGGTGGAAAGAGCACTGGGCTACTTCCTGGCTGCTGAGTCTTGGGCTGGGTGCTTCACCTTCCCCCCAGACTTTATTCTCATCTGAGAGATGGAAATAATAGTGCCCACCTCTTAGGGTGGTGAAGATTCTGATTTCATGCATGGGAAAGCTCATGGCATTATCTGGGTACTGGTAGGGGATTAGGAGATAATTGTTTCTATGCCCTGCTGGATAGCTCAGTGACTTCCGAGAAAGATACACGAGGTGGCTGATGGGATCCTGTAAAGGCCACCTCTCCCGGTCCCTGGTGATGTTTCTGGAGTGTGTATTCATGCATTTAATAACTAACCACTGAGCAGCTCGCAGGGGCCATGGCACGGTATCAACATTGGGGACTGCAGGATGAATGGACATACGGCCTGCCCTTGACAAGACCCAGAGCCCCGCCTCCTACCTGCCCCTTTCCTCTCCAGGTTGATCGACATCGCCCGCAAGCTGGACAAGGCTGAGCGCGAGCCGCTGCTGCTGTGTGCTACCTACCTCAAGAAGCTGGACAGCCCTGGCTATGCTGCCGAGACCTACCTGAAGATGGGTGACCTCAAGTCCCTGGTGCAGCTGCACGTGGAGACCCAGCGCTGGGATGAGGTGAGGGGAAAGCAGGCCTCGTGGGCTGGGGCCCCACCTGAGCCCTGGGACACGGGTGGGTACAGGGGCCCTTTGGGGTTCAAATGGAGAGAAGTTGCCCTCGTGATGAAAGGAACATTGGGCTGGCAGTCAGGCAACTTAACCTCGAATTCTCTGAACCTCGAATTCTCTGAGCAACTTAACCTCGAAGTGGAGCGCCTTTCCACTTGTCCGTTCATTCAGTCATTGAGAAAATCGTTACTGACAGCCAGCTCTGTGCCAGGGTGGTGACAGGCACCGGGGATGTGAGTGTGAACACGACAGCTCCAGTGCCTGCCATTGGGCTGAGCTGCCTCTGACCAGCACCACAGGCTCAGACACGTGGCTGATGTGAAGATGCACCTGCGTGACATTTAAAACCTGCTGGGTAACATTTTGGCAGAAAGCACCATCTGTGCTTTCCAGATCCAGACTGCGAGAGTCATTTCAGGGGCCAGTTTTTTCCCTCCCTTCTCTGCCCCCACCCCACAACCACTGCTTCTCTCTCTGGTGTTGGGGGCTGTAAAGAATTAGCCAGGCCAGTGAGAAAAGTGGCCATGGCTGGCAGAAGCAGCTAATGCTGCCCCTTCTGTGGCCAACCCCCACCCTCCAGCTCACCGGCTCCCTGTGCCCTTCAGAGAAATCCATCCCCGAGAGGATTAGGAGCTGTGCCAAGATCCTCCCCCGACTCACCCACCCACCCGTCATGGTCCATTTTAGAGTGAAAGCAAAGCCTTCACTGAGAAGAGCCATCTGACTGTTGTCTGCTCTCTGGATGGCTCCATTTGGTGAGGTGTTGAGGTCACTCATGAGAAAAGGTGGGGCTAGGGACAGAGGCAATGGTGGCTTCTCAAGAGAAATTTATTAGATTTCTCAAGCAGCGTAGATTAGAGCATCTTAGAATGACTCAGACCTCGCTGTGCATCAGGCAGACTTTCTCCCCATGGCTCATGTCCAGTTCTCCTGGCCTGACAGGTGATTCTGGGGCTTAGGTGAGAAGTAGTCAGTGGGTCCATACAGCTCAAGGCCCACAGTCATCTTTGACAACTGATAAGAAGTGGTAATGATGATAATGTCAATTCTGTTTCCTTAGGTATCGCCTGCAATTAAAAGAAATCTGTTTGCAGCACTACAGGAGCCCACGCAAACCCTCAAAATAAAATGTTTCCGATTCTGTGCCGCTTCTGTGGTCCAGAAACAGACTGTGTTGTTACTGAATCCAGTCGCTTGCATATTGCTGTTAATTGCCTTTTGTTTTCGAAGAGCTGATTTGTTTTTGCGTTTCTGTGGGTAGTTTTTGGGGGAGGCACTCTGCCTCTCTGAGTCGTCAGGCTGGCAAAATATGACATCCCTAATGAATTCAGCCAAGTGCAGTGTTTTCATGGGGGCTGCAGGGGCAGTTTTATTAAGACTTCATTTGCTCCTTCCCCCAGGCCTTTGCTTTGGGTGAGAAGCATCCTGAGTTTAAGGATGACATCTACGTGCCGTATGCTCAGTGGCTAGCAGAGAACGATCGCTTTGAGGAAGCCCAGAAAGGTAGGCAACACAGACTGTCACCTTCTAGAAGGAGCAGGAGAAGTCACTGCCAAGACATACATTTCAGGAAGGCTACCAAGCCCTTCCCATCTGTAGGTCCCAAGATAGATGACTTCATCCTGGGGATGTGATTGTTTGGTGGTGAAAGACTATGGAGCATGGAAAGACCATTGGCTTTGGAGTCACACCCTCCTGGGCCACACTCACTTGCTACAGGCCCTTAAGAGGTGCTGCCTCCTCTCCAAGCCTCTGTGGTTACTGAGCAAAGTGCTGTGCACTGCAATGTATCTTCTCATTTAATCCTCACAACAGCCCTATGGTATAGCTACCATCATTATGATTCCCATTTTGCAGATGAGAAAACTGAAGGGTAAAGAGGTGAAGAAATTTGCCTGAAGTTTCATAGCTAGGAAGTGGCAGGGAGGTAATGTGAGCCAGGGTGCCATGAGGACAATAAGGGAGGACTGCCACACAGTGTGAGGCATGGTCTCACCTCTACTGAGAATAGAAACTCAGCTTCTATTTCTGGCTCAGATAAATGGGTGACTTCTGCTCCTCAAGATTTCTGTTGGTAAAATGGGCTGCACAAAACATACAACGGCATCTGAAGTTGGAGCCAAAGCAAGTATAGAACTTTCGCTGATGTTATTAATCATATTTTTTTTAAGTTGACTTCCCTCTCTGTGTCAGGCCCTGGCTGAGCACTTAACCTATGTAACCTTGAATATTGCCAACAGCTGTGCAAGGATGAAGAGGCTAAATGTGCCATGCCAAGTCACAAATCTAGTCAGCAGGAGAGCCAGAATTGGACCAGTACCTCTCTGACTGGGGAACCTGATTTTTCTGTTTTGCTGCCTATTTAGCCTTCTAATTGAAGTTGGGTGTTTCATGTTCCATAGCATCTGATTTACACTTCTATATGGTAACCGTTGCCACCTCCGGACACATTGCAGAACAAATGTCTCCCTGTTGGAGCTCTCAACCGAAAGCCCTCATTGAAGGATAGCGCATTCTCTGCTGCTTCAGCATTTCCAGAGCATCCAGTTGCTGAAGTATCTGCATGTTTGGGCAAAACACATCAACCTATCCATCTGTCTGTGTCTGCCCTTCCAAGAATCCATCACCATAGTAACTTGGTACTCAGACAAGAGATTGTATATGAGAATGGAACAAAGGCCAGACCTTCTCCTTCTCTGAAGGCAGAGGATTAGGATCATTTGAATGCCCACATATGGCAAGTGTCATGGCTACAAGTGCTTCACTATCAGCCACCAACATCTCAAGGGGCTGGCCACGTAGTAGGTACTCAGAAAATATCTGTTAAACAGTGTAGGAATGATTGAGAGTTTTTTTGCTTGTTTTCACAAATGGTTGTGAGAACTGAGGTAGATCCTTCAAAGTGGTCACTGAAAAGCAGTCATTTGAAGACAAACTGAAGAGTTGGGCTTGGTTCTGGGACCTTGGGTGTGACGCTTTACCTCCATCTTGCAAAGTCCATTTCATTGCTCATAAAAAGGGGGATAATTTTCCTTCTTCATAAGTCTGTGGTGAGGATCCAGTGAGGTGATTAGCAACAAAAGCATTTTGCAAACCTCCAAGTGCAGTAAAGTGGCAGGTCCTGTTTGTATCACCTTAGGAGTCACAAAACTTTGCCCTGGAATGAGCAGGGGGCAGAACCTCACTGAAGATGAGCAAGTTTCACTCTTAGACTTTGCCCTGGAATTTGGCCCCTCCAGTTTTTCCTTTCTGCCATGCTTTTCAAAGTCGGTCGCCTTTTCCCAGCCAAAAAGGAATTTGTCTCACTGTACTTTTTCCAGGATGTAGCCTCGGTTATTTAGAGAAGCTCCATCCCAGCAACGAAGCACTGCAGATGCTCCAATGAGTGTCCTACTTCCAAAACAGCCCTGTGCGAGCCCCACAGAGCTCCATCCTGCCTCCTGAGTGACTTCCTAAATTGCATGTGCTTTTTTCCTCCCTCCACCGCTCCTACAGCATTCCACAAGGCCGGGCGACAGAGAGAAGCGGTCCAGGTGCTGGAGCAACTCACAAACAATGCCGTGGCAGAGAGCAGGTTTAATGATGCTGCCTATTATTACTGGATGCTGTCCATGCAATGCCTCGATATAGCTCAAGGTGCGTAAACATCAGCCAGACCACTGTTTTCCCAAGCCCCACTTCTGATAAACATCAGAAGAGCTGGGACATTTTAATTAAAGCTCTGGGCTTGTTTATTGGGTGTATTGTCCATAAGCCTGCCTTGCAGTGGCGTAATCTGGTGTGTCATCTTTTTCCAGTTTGCCCATCAGAATGGTATGAGGACCGTCCTGGGGTTACGGTTGGCAGGTCCAGCCCTGCATTGCTAATTCAGAGCATATCTCTCCCCTGCTACCTGGGAGCCCATAGCTGGACCTGGGTGAGCACTGGGTTTTAAATTTTTTTAATTAAATGAGAAGATGAACAAGAGATGACTTTACAATAACGCACTCCAGATTCTTACTCATCCCAGCCAGAAAAACAGTTTCAATATTGCTTTCTTTCACAAGACTTCCCAAGATGTACTGAAGGAGCCCTGGAAGTGGAAGAGAAAGATGTTCTTTTCCACTGGAAAAGGCCACATGCAGGGGTGGGAAAAACACTGGAATGGAGGCTGCAGGTGACTTGTAACAAGTCACAATCCTTCCTGAGCTCTGCATGCCCATCTGTCCTGTGGGAGTCCCTTGTCCTGGTCCCTTTGGTTGCTGGGAGCCTCACAGAGTCATGCTTACAGTTTGAAAATTGTCAGGCCCAGGTGTAAGGTCACATTTTTGTGTTCTGGCCAGTGCCTTATGCTTCTGATAGGAGCAGCAGAGGGAAGAGGCATAAGATAAGCATGAATACAGTTGGTGTCTGCCTGCCCTTGTCCCAGCAGGCTTTTCTGACACATCTGGGGTCTTGCTGCAGCTGTCGCTCCCTGAGGGGAATAACCTGGGAGGGTGCAGTGAGATATCTGGAAAAAAATATCTTCAAACTCCCTGGCCTTATGCCCTGCCCACCTAAGATTTCACTGTCCTGGACTGGCCCTACTCCTAAGCAGAGTACCTTTCCCCTCACTACACTTTGTCCCTCACCCTGGCACAGACACTGTGTGGTGGGAGAACTGATGCTGGCAAAAGTACTGTTGCCTGGCCCCTCCTCCTGGGGCCAGTTGGCAGCCACAGACACTGTTTGATATGTTTCCCCTCCCACCCGCTGCACACAGCAGATCGTGCCCAGAAGGACATGATGCTTGGCAAGTTCCACCACTTCCAGCGTTTGGCAGAGCTGTACCATGGCTACCATGCCATCCATCGCCACACGGTAAGGTGGCTGGGTCGCCAGCGCCTGAGGGTACCGTCTGCTGTGCTAGGGATCCCGGGCATGTCTAAAGAGCAGCAGACTGGATGGAATGTAACCCACTGGTCACAGTGAACTGCTGAGGAATCTTGGTCTCCGCTGGGGAGAAAAAGTTTGATTTTCCTTGTTTGACTATTTGTTTGCCATGTATCACGCAGTGGGCTGCTGAATTGTAATCCAGAGCTGGTATGGTCCTTGCTAGTTCCTCAGTGCAGGCTTTAATGACTCGGGGAAACTCTGCATTAACCAGCGGGGGGGGGGCGGGAGTTCCATGAGGCCCTCTCCTGCAGTAGGGCGAAGACCCAGGTTAACCAAAGGCTCGAGTTCCCTCCCTGGCTGGCCCTGTCAGTGACTTGTGTGTTCTTCAGCAGTTCACTTTCCCTCTCTGTCCCTCAGTTTCCTTCTCTGTGAAACCAGAGTGTTGGCTTGGTCTCCAGAAACCCAAATAGTTCTTTTTAGTCACTCTCTGATTCCTTTGAGAAAGCCATTTTAAATCTGTCTGGTGGCAATGAAGAACAGGTGATGGGTTGTCAACAGCCTCTTCATCCACTGTATCTCCTCAATCACCCAACAGATGTTGAGCACTTAGTACCTAGTAGGCAATGTACTGAGGGCTTCATTGTATCAAGTCATTTCCTCCTTTCAACCACACTTTGAGGGAAGGACTGTCACACCCATTTTACAGATGATAATGAAGCCCTAGACAGAGGGGTCTCACAGGTTATTAGGTTGGTGCAAAAGTAATTGCAGTTTCAGACTGAATTTTAAATCATTATAACTAGGCTCAAACACATCTTTATTAATCAAAATAGGAACCATAATGATCAACACATTTTTGCCAATGAGAAATAAGTTTATTTCTGTAGTGTAAAAATCCATACTTTGGGATTCAATGAACTCTTGGAAAGCATTTTCTGCATCCTGCTGGTTGTGGAAGCGTTTTCCCTGCAAAAAGTTGTTGAGATGCTTGAAGAAGTGGTAGTTGGTTGGCAAGAGATCAAGTGAATATGGCGGATGAGGCAAAATTTTGTATCTCAATTCATTCAACTTTTGAAGCATTGGTTGTGTGACGTGCAGTCAGGTGGGTGAAGAAGAATTGGGCCCTTTCTGTTAACCAGTGCTGGCTGCAGGTGTTGCAGTTTTCAGTGCATCTCCTCCATTTGCTGAGCATACTTCTCAAATGTAATCGTTTCACCAGCATCAGAAAGCTGTAGTGGATCAGACCGGCAGCAGACCGCCAAACAGTGACCATGGCCTTTCTTGGTGCAAGTCTGGCTTTGGGAACTGCTTTGGAGCTTTTTCTCAGTCTAGCCTTGGAGCTGGTCATCACTGGTTGTCATATAAAGTCCACTTTTTGTCACACATCACATCTGATTGAGAAATGTTTTGTTGTTGTTGCATAGAATAAGAGAAGACAATACTTCAAAACGACTATATTTTCATTTTCGATCTACTCATGAGGCACCCACTTATCGAGCTTTTTCACCTTTCCAATTTGCTTCAAATGCCAAACAACCGTAGAATGGTTGACATTGAGTTCTTCGGCAACTTCTCCTGTAGTTGTGAGAGGATCAGCTTCGATGATTGCTCTCGGTTGTTGTCAACTTCCAATGGCCGGCCACTACGCTACACATCTTCGAGGCTCTCATCTCCTTTGCAAAACTTCTTGAACCACCACTGCACTATACGTTCATTAGCAGTCCCTGGGCCAAATGCGTTGTCGATGTTACGAGTTGTGTCTGTTGCTTTATGACCCATTTTGAACTCAATTTAGAAAATTGCTTGAATTTGTTTTTTGTCTAACATCACTTCCATAGTCTAAAACAAACAGCAAGTAATAACTCATTAGCGAAAAAACATAAAGTGAGAAATGCCCATTGAAATGATGTATAACATAAACACATTTAGGAATGTATTCTACTATCAAACAGCAAATTCCAGAGCCAATATATGAGTCTCAATAGGCTGGCACTGGAGCCTGTGTTCCTAGCCTTTCCCTCCCTCTCTCCCTTTAGAGAAAGCAGGCTAGTATGTTGGTCTAGTGGGTAAACTTGAGAGTCCTCACACACAAATGACACCATGTTATTTACCTTCTCTGGCCTTCACTTCCTTCTCTATAAAATGGTGATAACAGCAGTATCTACATGATGGGATTGTTGGGAGGATTAGATGAGTTAATATTGGAAGAGTACCCAGCATGGAGTGACCCTAGGTGGCAGCTATCCTTACTGCTGCTGCAGGCAAGGCTTCACACCAGCTTTCCCTGGCCTGCACCCTGCGGCTGGGCATCTGGCATTTCTCTTTTTTCAGAGATGAGGTCTCTGTCGCCCAAGGTGGGATGCAGTGGCATGATCATAGCTCATGGCAGCCTCAAACTGCTGGACTCAAGTGATCCTCCTGCCTGAGCCTCCCAGAGCACTGGGATTATTACAGGCATGAGCCACCACGCCCAGCCTTTCCACAGTTCTTTGACCTCTCAAATGCCCTGCCTTCCACCTTGGGCACTTCTTTCCCTCTAATCTGTGCTGACCTCTCAGCACATTTTTTGCTTCTTGGGAAAGTCTGGCAAGAAGGACTCCTGACAGGCTCTGTGCAGGCCAACCGTCAGTCTAGTGTCACATCTCTTCCCACAGCAGGGTCAGTGGTCTCAAGGGACCTCATCTTCCCTTACAGTCTTTGCCTTTCCTGAAACAAGACCCCCTAGGGTCCCTCATCTCTATCAGGTGCTCACCTGGAGAGAAACTACCACAAAAGAAGCCCAGACTCAACTTGGGCTGGAAGTCAGGGCCCAGCTCAGCCTCAGTTTGCCCAAGCCACTCCGGAACCTGGCTCTCAGCTCCTTCCCTTAGACTTTTCTCCTGCTGCTCCCTGTCCTCTTCCTCACCTGGGGCATGGGGCTGAGGGCTCCTGTCTCTAACAACTGAGCTCTGCTAATACACACAGGACCTACATGGGACTAGGAGCTAAGGGGCTTCAGACCAGCTGGGGCCCTGGCTCTTATCCTAGCTGAATCTTCTTAATTGGGCCATTCCTTCGTTCAACAAATGCCTACTGTGTGATAGACCCTGTGATAAGACCTGGTGACACAGTGGTGAACAAAACATTGTCCCTGCAGTCAGTCCCAGTCTAGCAAACAGGACAATCCCTCAGGGGTAAAGTTTAGAGGCCTGTGAAGAGACTTCCTGGAGGAGGTGGCCCCTCAGCCAGAAGGCGGGAGAAAAGTAAAAATGGGGCAAGTGAAGCAGAGGAGGAGGAGGAGGAAAGGTGTTTGTGGCAAAAGTCACAGCCTGTGCAAAGGCCTGGAGGTGAGTGGTAGTTTGTGGTTCAACATCCAGGGCCCAGGAGAGCAGCATTGATTCAGGGCAAGACTGGAAAGGGAAGTTCAGGTCCTTCCTGGATACATGGCTTCTTTCCCAGAGGAAAGGACTCCCCTCCTACCTATTGTTTCTGGGACGTTACTTAGCTTCCCTACCTAGTGCAGTAGAAGCAGAGACAGACTTCATCTTGTTCTTACCCTGGAAAGGATGTGGTCTCAGGTTTTCTTGAGTTCTTGGAGCTAACAAAAGCTATAGAAATTTAAGTGTGAATTAAATAGAAAATGCTAAGCTCTGAACTGAAGAAGTGTAGAGCAAAGTGAGTCCTCAGGAGTTTAGACCAATTAGGGGTTAAGCTTTGGTGGCTCAGTGATGAGTAGGGCGTCACAAGACCCTTCTTCAGTGCTCACAAGAAAAAGGAGTGGCTGGCCTGCTTTAATCCTCACCATTTAAAGCTTTATTAGAAATGGGTAATCTCAGTTTATGTACAGTGTGCCAGATGCCTTCAAAATAAGGTATTCTTGACCTTTTATAGACCCTCACATAGAAAATTCCCTTTTGTCTTCTGAGCTTCTGGCAGCCTCTAGGTACGAAGAACAATCATTCCACTAATGTGTGCTAACTGCCTCCTGTTAGTGCCTATGCCAGGAGCCAGGGAAGTGGGTCAGCAGTTGAGGAACTCCGCATGTGTGCTCATTTGGTGGCACATCAGTCAAGCTGCTGTTGGAAAGCACAGAAGAGGCATGTGGGTTCATGCTGGAGAGGGCTAAATGTCCTGTTGAAAGACAGGCTTATATGAATCAGTGGTTATGTCCTAAGTTGCATAGGTCTTCTCTTTTAGACCTAATTGGAGACAACTTGAGTAGTTCAGAGAAACGGAGTCATTACCACCTCCAGAGGCAGTACAGCTTGGAAGAAAGACATTCTTGGGCTTTGGAATCAGACCTGGGTTTGAATAGGAGCTCAGCTCTGTTCTAGTTGGTGACTTGGGCAAATTATCTATCTAGGTGTCGGTTTCCTCATCAGTACTGTGAGGATAAAAATGCATACCACAAGGTTATTATGTTAAAGACCAGATGAGACAGTGACTGTATGGTGCCCAGCACACAGTGGGTGCTCAATAATCAGAGCCGCTCTTGTTGATGTCACTCAGAATTATTGGTGTCTACCTTTTGGCCTGGCCCAGCAGCAGCTCAGTTGAGGAACTCAATCCCTGTTTACTTTTCTCTCACTGCAGGAGGATCCATTCAGTGTCCATCGTCCTGAAACTCTTTTCAACATCTCCAGGTTCCTGCTGCACAGCCTGCCCAAGGACACCCCCTTGGGCATCTCTAAAGTGTATCCTTTCTCTTACCCCTCCCCCGTCCCAGTTCTTGTCTAATGGCCCCAAGAAATTCCTTCCAGAGCACTTTCCTGGCAGAACGTTCCTCTCTCAGCAGCCCTCAGGGAAGAGACAGAACTCACCCTCCCGCTGCTGTTTGGCTGTAGAGGCTCAGCAGGGAGGCCCAGGGGCCCAGGCCAAGAGAAGATACGTTTTCAGGGCTCTCTGAGCTGAGCCCAGCAATAGGTCTCTGGCCAACACACTGTCCCAATTCCTCCTAGAACCCACAGATGAAAATGTGACTGAAATGGAAGAAGCATCAGGCCTTCAGGCTTGGAACCTTGGGCACTTCCCCAGACTGGGAAGGAGGGAGTGTTTGTTTAGCCAAGGTATACATAGCACCTGCTATGTCCCCAAGCCCTGGGCCAGGCACCGGGTGACAAAGCTGCCATCAAAGAGGGAGGTCACAAGTTAGGGCCTGCTTTGGTGGATGTTTGCTGTGTCTGAGGGTGGAATGAGGCTGAGGTCAGGGCCACGGTCAGGGAAGTTTACCTGGAGGAGGTGATGTCCATCATGCAAGTTGAGGCAGCTAGGGAAGATGGCAAAGTGGATGTTCCAGGGGAGGACCCAGCATGTGGAGAGGCAAGCAAGGCATGTGGGAGGGTGGGAGGGGGCCCTGGGTGGGAGGGGCCGGAGAGGCAGCAGGACCCAAGGCCTGAGGGCATACCTTTGGGTTTTCCTCTCCTTCTGTAGACACTGAGGGCCACAGTGGTGCCATAAGCAGAGCAGGTGCCTGAAGGGCCTGTGCAGCCACGTACTGGATCATTGGATCCAGATTTTTAAAGTCTTGGATGTCATGAGACATAATTGTCCCTGTTCTTTTCTAAATCTCACTGTACTCTCAGCTCCTTCCCAGCCCTAGCACCACCTTCCCTCTGTAAGGAAAACGCACTCCACTGGAAAAGACGCAGAGCTCTTTGTTGTAAGAATTGGCCTTGCTAGAGGATTCCAGGCCCATTATTTATATTTCAGGGGAAACGACCCCAAATCAAGGGGTGCCTTCCTGGAGTCAGACCTCTGCTGCATGCATCTCCGTCTTTCCCCAAAGGAGCAGTCAGGGCTATGCCTGTGTGGGCTGAGCACCTGTACTCATCCTTTGCAGCAAGTTCTGTTTGAGTCAACAGCTTGATGGGACTCCTGCCCCGAGCCTTAATGGCTCCTGACAGTCCCTGACTTTGAGGAGTCATGCAGGAGACACAGAAGGAAACTCTCCACAAAACTGCTGAAGTGGACGGGGCTGCGCTGCAGAGGGCAGGAGCAGGAATACTGGGAGGAAGGTGGGAGGAAGGGCAGGAGGGCCTGGGAGCAGCCAACATCGGAGGTGACCTGAGAGGAGAGCACAAAGGCTCATCAGCCTCTGGCTGAGGAGCTCCAAGGGGGCCCCAGAGTACAGGTGAGGCTGCCGCTCAGAAAGTGCCCACCAGGCCCTCGGGGAAGGGCATGCAGGCAGAGTGGGGTACACCCAGGGGCCTCAGAGCAGGGCTGAGGGTGGCTCCCCAGGGAGTCTTGACCAGGCCTCACCTGGCAGGGCGAGAGCAGAGTGCCCTTCGTGCCAGGCGTCCTAGGAGGGCCTGGCTGGCAGGTTTGGTGAGGCAGAAACAGCCATTTTGGCCTAGTCAGGGTGCAAGATGAGCCATCAGCAGGCCCAGAGATGCTAAGCAAGGTTAAAGTATTAATGGAAACTATGCTGTTTTTATATCTGAAAAAATTCCTGGGCCTTGCCATCCGAGAAGTACACTCACCTCTCACAAGCGCACGGAGCCTTCCCACAATCCTTCCTCTGCCCTCCCGGCACCAGCACGAGCTGTGTTCCAGCCCGGGGCTCACTTCAAGGATAGGCAGTGCCAGCTCCTAGGCCTGGTGTTGCCCCTGCTGTCCTTAACCCTGTTCACGGCAGGAAAATACTCTTCACCTTGGCCAAGCAGAGCAAGGCCCTCGGTGCCTACAGGCTGGCCCGGCATGCCTATGACAAGCTGCGTGGCCTGTACATCCCTGCCAGATTCCAAAAGTCCATTGAGCTGGGTACCCTGACCATCCGCGCCAAGCCCTTCCATGACAGTGAGGTGAGGATGCAGCACCCTTGGGCAGACAGCTTCTCCTCTCCCCTGAGGCCATCTCATGCCTTCTTGCCTGGCCTGGGTTCCGTTTGAAGAGAGACAGCTGTAGCTCCCTCTAGGCTCTGTGCCCCCTGCTCAGGCCTGGCCATGCCAGCTCCCCTGTGCTTCCCTGTCCACCCCCTGTTCTCCCCGCAGTCCCCCCGGTGCCAGCTCACAGTCCCCAACCCCAGCCCCAGCCCTCAGCCCGGTCTCCCTTGCTCCTTGCCCTCCCTTAGGCAAGCCCCACACCTCTGTGCCCAGGTGGCTCTGCCTTTACCCCAGGCCTGGCTCTAGAGCTGACCCTCACTCTAGAAACCTCTGCCCTTTCTGGAACCAGGCTGTGTTTTTCCAGCAAATCTACCCCACACTCCCAGCGCACATTCCTTCAACCCAGCCAATTTCCTTCTTTCACACCTCCTCCCTCAAGCTCAGAGCAAGGACTTGCATCAAACAGACCTGGGTTCACATCCTGGCTCCACCCTCTCCTAGCTCTGTCTCCATCTTTCTGCGCCTCGGGTTCCCCCTTTCCCACAGGTAGTTGTGAAGCTAAATGAGCCAGCACAGGCCACGTGCTCCGCACAGTGCCTAGAGCATGGTAAATGGCTGGCTAATGGTGGCAGCGGCCACTGTCATTCCTGCCAGGGGAACAGTGCCGTTGAGCACTGCCTGTGCAGGTGTCTTGGGCACAGGGCCCCAAGTGACAGGGCTTGGGTGTTTCGGCAGGCCTTTTATCCTGCTTCCCCATGGCATGGAGCCCCTGGGCCCGGCGCCCCTTCCCTGCCTGCCCACCCAGGTGGCCTTTCTTCTTGCCGCCAGGCCCCAGGGGCCCGAAACCAGAGTCCAGGGGGAGGACACGTGCCTGGCCCCTCGGGAGTCCGTGGCTGTTTTGTAGGAGCTGGTGCCCTTGTGCTACCGCTGCTCCACCAACAACCCGCTGCTCAACAACCTGGGCAACGTCTGCATCAACTGCCGCCAGCCCTTCATCTTCTCCGCCTCTTCCTACGGTGAGTCCCTGCATCCTGAGCATGTGGGCGGGACAGCCTGTGGACCACTACGCTCACTCCACTGCTCTCTGGCCTCAGGACGTTGGGCAATGGCCAAAGGCCTCTGAATGTCCCTGTTTATGAAATGAGGACACTCTGACACCCACCTGCCTGACACAAGGAGTCACTGTCGGTGTTCCCACAGATAGGACCCACTGCTGCCCAAAGCTGAAGCACCCACTCTGGGAACCTGGCACAGTGCTGTACATAACCAAATGCCCCAGGAAGAGAGTCTGATGGCTCTTCATTCGGACTGGGAGGCTGAGATAGGTAGCTCCTTTGATGTTGATAGAGGATCAGAAGTCCCTTCCCAGGAGCTGAGCAGAGGCCACACACACACACACACAGAGACGGCCCCTACACACACACACACACACACACACACACACACACACACACACACACACACACACACACACACACACAGAGACGGCCCCTGCACACACACAGACGGCTCCTGCACACACAGAGACTGCTCCTGCACATACACACAGACTGCCCCTGCACACACACACACAGACTGCCCCTGCACACACACACACAGACTGCCCCTGCACACACACACAGACTGCCCCTGCACACACACACACAGACTGCCTCTGCACACACACACACAGACTGCCCCTGCACACACACACACAGACTGCCCCTGCTGCCTCTTCTTGCTTTTGGTGAAGCTGCCAGTGGGTTGAGAAGGAACTCTGTGGTCACCCCACCTGCCTGGCGACAAGTCCCTTGCAAAGCCCTCAGCCCCCTCAGCCCTTTCTCTATGCCCTCCAGACGTGCTACACCTGGTTGAGTTCTACCTGGAGGAAGGGATCACTGATGAAGAAGCCATCTCCCTCATCGACCTGGAGGTGCCGAGACCCAAGCAGGACAACAGACAGCAAGAGATTGCAAACAGCAGTATCCATGCCCTTGGCCAGAGCCTGTATATGCGGCTGTGTGAGGGGTCTGGGGCCAGGCGGGATGCAGGAGAGCCCAGTCCCAGGGGATGGCAGGCCATGCTGAGCCTGGCTGTGTGTCCCCAGAGAGATTGGAGAGGCCCACATGGGACAGAGACAGGGACCAGAGATGGGCAGAGAGCTGGCCAGGACCTGAAGACCCAGAAGTGGCAAGTGGCACCTTGGTGTTCCCGTGTGGGTCTCCCACCCTCCCTTGCCCCTTAAAAGGCACTGGCTGTGCCTCTGTCTGTGCATAACTCCTACATAGCCAACATGGGACATGATGTTGGTGGTGGCCCCTAGCTCTTCCCCTCAGGTCACTTTTGCATGCAAGTGACAGAGTCCAAAACTGTCAGACAGGCCGAACAAGCGAAGGGTGTACAAGGAAGCCCTGAGCAGGAGAGGAAGCTCCCTGGCCCAGCGCTTAGTCTGGTCTGTCACAGGCTGGCTCTGCCTCTCTTGGCCGCACTGTCCTCTGGGGAGCTTCATTCTTTGGCAGCACCGCGGTGCCCCCATAACACAGAGATGTCAGGAGCAGTGCCAGCCCCATATCCCCTCAGCCTCATAGCCCCCAGAAACAGCCAGCTTTCCTCTCAGCCGTGGCAGTGAAAGCCCCGGGGCACAGCTCAGCCTGCCCCTTTGGCCAGGAGGATGCACCAGGGCAGTTGTCCAGGCCAGGCCACACTTGCAGGCTGGACATGGGAGGGTCTTCTGGCAGGGAACAGCACACGCATGGCCTGGGGCCTCGCTTCCTTGCACTGGCCGAGTCTGCAGGTCTGGGGGCTGTGAGCCTGCCTTTCCTGCGGCTCCCAGGTGCTGCCACCCCCAGGGGCCACACTAGGAGGAGGGAAGCTCAGAGAGCTGCTTGCTGAAGGAAACACGGACCCATCTATGCCACCCAGGCTCCCTCAGGTGCCACAGATGATACATGCTATGGTGCTGGCAGGTGGGTGCTGTGCCCACTCCAACTTGACACCAGCAGTCTTCATGTCCTGGGCCTCTCTGCAGGACCCCTGCTGGCCTCTGTCACCAGCTCCACCACTGTGGGTGAGGGGCGGTTTCCGGGGACCTCCAGGTGAGTCTGACCCGCCCTGGAGTCAGTAGGGGCTCTCACCCCTGTCTGCTCCATCACAAGTGCCCACAGACCCCCAGCAGCCACAGAATGTTTCTCCAGGATCCCTGGGCCTATTCCCTCCGTGCCCATCCACAGCAGCTCACCGGGCCCTCATGTGCTTCCCACTGGCCCTGGGAGCCATGGTGTGTGTGGCCTGCCAGGGGAATGGGTGAGGGCAGCAGAGCCAGCAGAGTCCCTTCTCTCCGCCTTCTTGGCCTAAGCCCCCTCTGTTCCTCCACCTGGAAAACTGTTCCATTGGCCTGGCTGCTCTTGAGTCTTCACACAGGTGTAGGGTGGAGGCTAAGGTCTGTCTCCATCTCTGCTTCTGATTCCATCCTTGACTAGACCCCTCCAGGCTCCCAGATTCTGCGGCTAGTGGAGACCAAGGACTCCATGGGAGATGAGGACCCATTCACAGCTAAGCTGAGCTTTGAGGTGAGGGTGCCTCTCTGGGTGACCTGAAGGAGGGCATCCTCTATCCCTTCTCCTGTGCACATGGGGACCCTCAGCTAGCACAGTAGTGGAGGAGGATTGGCCAGAACTTCCAGATGTGGTGGCACGAGGGAGGGGCAGGACCCTTTCCTGTGGGGCATGGGAGCCATGGCTGCCCCCAAAGGACCATGGCCAGGGGCACAGGTCTGTGGACAGGGAGGCAGCTTCAGCTCTGGTGGGAGGAGCTTGTCACTGTTGGGGTCACCTGGGTTTAGGAAGCAGGTCCTCTCTCGCCACTGCCAAAGATTCCAGGATCATAATCCACACAGATGTGTCACTGTGGCTGAGTGAGGACACTGTGCCTCCTTCCCACCCACCCTGCAGCAAGGTGGCTCAGAATTCGTGCCAGTAGTGGTAAGCCGGCTAGTGCTGCGCTCCATGAGCCGCCGGGATGTCCTCGTCAAGCGCTGGCCCCCGCCCCTGAGATGGCAATACTTCCGCTCACTACTACCTGATGCCTCCATTACCATGTGCCCCTCCTGCTTCCAGGTAGGTGGCCCCCCCAGCAGCTCACGTGTGCTTCTCTTGGCCACTTTTCCCTTGCCCAAATGTCCCTCTGGGAGGTCTGGCCCCTTGGAGGAGGGGCACGTCCATGGCTCCAAGTAGGGACAGAGGCTTGGCTGTCCTCTGCCCCTACTTGCATTCCATGTGCTTCACCAGACCCTGCGCTGTCCACACCCTCCCCAGATCAGGAGGACCAGCAAGTGTGATGTGCTTTTGACCTTCACTCAGAAAACAAGGAACCCCACAGCCCCCTCCCATCTTCCCTTCCAGCCCTCAAACAAAGGTGCTGCAGGTCTGTGTCCGGCCCTGACCACTGCCGAGCCCCCTCCCCTTGAGAGGCAGTGTGTCCCGGCCCCAGGCGTAGGGCTGATAAGCACTAGGGCCTCAGCCTGGGCTTATGGCTGTCTTCCCTCAGATGTTCCACTCTGAGGACTATGAGTTGCTGGTGCTTCAGCATGGCTGCTGCCCCTACTGCCGCAGGTGCAAGGACGATCCTGGCCCATGACCAGCATCCTGGGGATGGCCTGCACCCTCTGCCCGCCTTGAGGTCTGCTGGGCTGTGAAGGAGAATAAAGAGTTAAACTGTCAGAATGTGTTTCTTGCCCAGATGAAGTTTGTGTTTTTTTGGGGGGGGGCCTTGTGTAACCACAGAATTCCTATTTATGGCATTTCATGCCTTGTAAATAGCACCAGGAGATGAGGAAGAGAATGTACATATATTTTCTAAGGAAAAAAATCTGTTACTTTCAGAACGGCTCCGAGTTGTTCGTGGCAGCCTGCTGGAGTCCGCCGATCTGTCAGACCGTTAGCATGTACATTTTGCCAACAGATTGCCTCAATAATAACAAAAGGGCTCCTTATTTTCATCACCGTCTACATTTTAGCAAATCTTCTTATTGTCTGCAACTTAATTTCCATATGCAAAAGTGCACCTGTTTCTAATTTGAAAGGAACATTACATTTGTGTGCTCTTAACATTTAATCAAAATGGCAATATGGAAAGGGGTAGGGGAGCAGGGATTTTTTTTGTTGTTTATTTATTTTGATTTAATGGGGATCCATCTTGACAAGAAAAAATACCTGGGTCCAAAGAAGATGGCAGGAGTTTTTTTAAAAAGCCTTCTGTTTGGTAGCCCAGTCAAGGCTCCTGTCCAGGCCGTGGAGCTGCCCTCTTCCGTCCACCTTCCCCAGCCCCACAGAGCAGCTCCAGCCCAGTGGAGACTCTTCCATTTGGAACAGCTCCTGAAGCAGGGGGCTTCCGTTTGAGATTCCATGCTGCCAAGGTCCCTTCCCTCAGGCATCACTGGTGTCCAGTCCAACAGCTTGAGGGCGTGGAAGGAACAGCACACAGAAGCTGAGGAGAACTCACATGTATTGGGGACGTTTTTGGCACCAGCCACATTCCATGCTGTCTCAAGCTTCTCAGCAGCCCTGTGAAGGAAGGGTTATGATTTCCAGTGGGGCTGGGAAGGGGGTTGCCAGGGCCCGGGGGTGCCTCCAGCCCTGGGAGGGGCGGCCCACAATTTGTCCAGCCCCGAGGCCCTGTCCCTATCACCCCCACTCCACCTGCCAGAGGTGGCAATGCAGCACTTCATGAAAAGCCCAAGAGCAGCCGGACACAGGCAGGAGAAAGGGTATGGGCTGCCATGCCATGCTGAAACGCACCCTCCCCTTGTGCTGCAGTATTGATTCCTTACAACCCGCCTGTGCAGGGGGCAGGGCAGGGCAAGTGTGCCCATTGCAGGGACGCAGACACTGAGGCCCCAAGGAGAGTGGCTACAGAGGCCCCCAGTGGGAAGTGTCAGAGATAGAGCCCCATCCCAGAGCCCCTGCCCCGCCCTAGACCGCCCCTCCTCCCTGCCTCCCTCCGCATCTCTCTGGAGATGATGGAGGAAAAGAAAGGAAGGGAGCCAGACAGTTGTGCCAACAGAACTCCTCCATCGAGTGTCTAATTACTTACCATCATGCATGCGTTCTCCCACTAAACATTTATTAGTGTGTTAGGATTTCCATTAGCGCATGACTTGAACTGAAATCATTTGCATATGGCTGGGAAAAAGAGGCGAGGGAGAAAACAGCTCCAGCTACCCAGCAGTCAATCACAGTGACAGATCAGATGGTCCCTGGCTGGAGGCAGGGGAGGGTTCCAGCCGAGACTCTAGCATGCATCCCCTCAGCCGAAGAACACAAAAATGAGTGTGCTCTGCTGGGTTCTGCTGCCCCGGGAAGCTCAGCTCCAGAGGCCTGAGTGGGACCCCTATTCAGTCAGATGCACTTTCCGTGCATCATCCAAGGCTGCCTATTACGCAGGTGATGACACTGAGCCTCAGTCATGTTATTTTTCATTCAGCAAATATGCATTAAGCCAAGGCATATTTGGTTGCACCTGAGTGCAACCTTTGTGCATAAGCCCTGTGTCTGGCTGCTTTTCTCTCTCAACCTGATCTGGGTCTGAACCAAGTCCAGTCTTTTCTCCAAGGCTGTTTCCCCATCTGCACAAAAGGGCCCCCTCCAGCTCTGACTCCAAGGTTCCAGCCTCAGTCTGCGTCTGTTAACAGCGCTGATGATCCTGTTGACCTCTCAAGTGCCTGTGACAAGAAAGGCACCACAGGGACCTGGCGATGCCCATTGAACTAAGAGGACACTGAGGCCAGACAGGAGCGGCTGCTGGCGGCTGCACAGTGGAGCAGTGATTCTGGCCTGTAGCGTGTAGTCCCAACTACTCGGGAGGCTGAGGTGGAAGGATTAATTGAGCCAAGGACAGGAATTCAAGGCTGCAGTAAGCTGTGATTGCACCACTGCACTCCAGCCTGGGCAACAGAGCAACATTCATCTCTAAACATTTAAAAATTGTTTTAAGAAGACAAATGAAATCATCGTTGATGGTAATGACTGTAAAAACTGAACATGGCTGGGTGTGGTCACTCACACCTGTAATCTCAGCACTTTGGGAGGCCAAGGCAAGAGGATCGCTTGAGCCGGGAGTTAGAGACCAGCTCAGACAATATAGGGAGACCCCATCTGGCTGGGACTGGTCCCGATCTCTCATCTCCAAGTGCTCAACATTGTGCCCATGTTCTTGGAATGAGGAAGGAAGGGAGAGGTGGACTGGGCAGCCTCAGGTGGACCTGACTGTAGGCGCACCTCAGGCAGCTGGAGGTCCCCAGGCCTTGCTTTCCCCTCTTTCTCCAGCAAGGCTGTGAGGCCAGGAGACCCTGGTGGCTATCGCACAGGTGGGCAGAGGCCCCTCCTCCAAGGTTGCTCTGTCTCTTCTCTGGCTCGGAGTCTGTGTGCCCACAGCAGAGGCCACCACTGGGCAGGGTGCTTACCCTGGGCCTCCCTGATTCTTCCCCTACAGATCTAGAACACTGGCCTAGTATGGAGATCTCATCATGGCCCTCCCTGCTTGCCACCTGCAGCAGCTGCCCATGCCATTCAGCCAACACCCAGACCCCTAGGCCTGCCCTCTGTCCCCACCACGCCACCCTGGGGGGCCCAGCACCTCCACGCCCAGCTGGCCCTCCCTGTCTGCCCTGCTTGGGAGACTCTTTTGAGGCTCTTTTGACCCTCCTGGTCCACCTCTTGCTCCTCTGGGCTCCCATAGTACTGGGACTCGGAGAAAACTCTCATCTCTCATGCTTAGTTTCCCATCAGTGCCCCCTGAGACTGGGAGCCCCTTGAAAGCAGGAACTGTTTGGGATCTGCCTCAGTGTCCCCAGGGCCTGGTGCATGTAAGGAGTCTGGCAAATGCTAGAGTAGAAAAAAGAAAGAGGAAGGAGGGAATGAGAGCTGGTCTTTCCCCCTCCCTTATTCCCTCTTGATGCTCTCAGTGCCGTTGAAGGCCTCATGTAGCCTTGGTGATGCAGCCAGGTGGGGCTGAGCCATGTAGGGGACCAGGAGAAAGAAAGCCAAGGAAGAGGAGGAGGAGGAGGCGGAGGAGGAGGAGGAGGAGGAGGAGGAGGAGGAGGAGGAGAAGGATGCTGACCTAGCAGCTCCTCTCACAGCAGCTCCTCTCTTGCAGAGGCTGAAGAGCGAGTTGTGCCCTGCAAGCTAAGCCCCTAATCCTCTGAGGCAGAGGCAAAGCTGGGTTCCTGAGAGCTGGGACTCGGGTGCCCCAAGATGGCTGCATCCAGACATCTTGGTTCAGGAAGCCCTACACACACTAGCTTGGCCAACACCCACACCATGGGTTTCTCTGGACTGCCCGACACAAAGTGTGGGTGCTGGCCAGGCCTGTGTTCAAATCCCAGCTCTGCAGAGGAACTTTGACCCTGCGTGCCCCAGATTCCTCAGTGGTCAGTGGGGAGTTAGACCCTCCTCACAGGGGGCAGGAGGAGTTGTTCATTCATTCAA